GAGGTTTATTATTTTTTGCGACGTTCTTTGTTTACTTGTTTACGGTTTGAGAGATTTCAGTTATTTGATTTACGTTTTTACGGTAGCTCTGAGCGGGACTCGAACCCACTGTCTTTTCAAGCTAATTTGTTTTATTTTGATGGCACGCTTGTGTACCACGCCACGACGTTGGTCGTTAAGTGGTGTTCATTTTTCTAACTACTCTAGTGTTCCGATGAGTTGAACGGAAAAGCCAAAACGATTGCTGGTTTCTGATTGCTTCGGTTCTGGTGAGTGTGTATCTAGTGTGATTCGAACCCATGTCGTTTGTATTGGGCGTTTTTTTATTTCCCATGGTAGCTACGCCGTAATATGCAACCACTTCCCCGTTTTATTGTGATTTTGAGTGTTTAATGATGTCTTCCTCACCCGTCACGCCATGACCCAGTTTCAACCACACGGCCATTTTGCAACGCAGTTCGTGACCCTCGGCGTCACCCGACTGACTATATGAGCGTTCTCTTCAACTGTTAAGCTAGGATTTATTACCGTTATTATCATTATATTGTCACGTGATTTGTTTTACCTTATGTGTAATGTCTTAAGTATCTTTATTGTAATTTGTATATACCAATTCGTATATACCGAGGAAACGACCCCGATTGAAGGTCATGTATTTTATGACGTCACCAATTCGTGTGTAGGCACTGCTTCTAGATCTGTGCCCATAATTGTTGTTTTAATAACCAAGAACTATTGTGTCAACCAATAAGAAAAGATTGTACCGATAGTTTAATTCATATAAGTTGTAATTTTTAGCATCAACTGTAATTCTGTATATACATGAACTCTGAAAACATTCTCTGGGAAATACCATAGACCTTAAGTTCTATAAAAATGCCACGTTACAAAAACGCTTTCTTTCTGTCAAGAACGCACAACCGCAGAATGGAAACTCTATTTACATGTACTTTCATTGGACATGTGTTCATAACAAGGCAATGCCAGGACAGTCCAATCAGGTATGCCACTAACATAGAAGAGCTGTAAATATTTATTCTTCACACATACAATCAGTGAGACTTCACCGCACCATGGATGAATGCATCAGTGGAAGATGCTCGTAGAAAGGTGGGAAATATTAGAAAATGTGATATTACTTACTCAGCTGACTCTATTTCGATCGCCATCTTGGAACCTTACAAGCATCCTCGTTTCCAAATCTATTTAGTTTGTAAATAGAGAATTTTGTATTTATATGAATAAAAAATGAAACACATCAATAAAAGTATGTTACCGAATATTATCTAAGAATTGTTAATTCAATATATATATATTACTCACTTAACGTTACACCGTTTACTCGTAATACATTTTAGGCGAACGAGGTCTATAATAAATATTCAAAATGGTGAGTATCCAAGAGATTTTGAGTCCTGTTCCTCGTACAACATTTGCACGTTTTCTTAGTAACTAAGTGATATTTGTGTAGTTTCTTGATCGTAGGTGCATTCGAAAATACTATTTAATGAATCGATGTTACTTCTAGGTATCGCGACCACAGTGAATCTGGTGTGATGCTGTGGTGTAATGTTTGTGGCATGTGACAGTGTTGTCTGCTGTTACTGTGCAATGTGTTGATAATGTTTTGAAATGCGCGCACCATAGGCGGGGCGGGGAGGGGGTAGGTGAGTTTGGGATGGGGGTCGCGGTGTTATGTCAACAACTCACTTTGGCAAGTTTGCATGTTTGTTGAGCAAAGTAGATATTTGTCACAGACAATGAAAACATCCAACCACAGTCAGCTGGCCGGTGTTGGGGGAGGGGGGGGGGTACACTGGTAGATAGGTCAGTGTACATGTCTGTTGTTCAGCCGCTATGCCATCCTACACACCATAGGCTATGCCACCCAACACAAGTGTACACAGGGCTACGGTGTAGAGAGAAAGGGAACGTTACTAAACTTTATTTAAGAACCTTTCTGTTTATAGAAAGTCTAAGCAAATTACTGTTTTTTAATGGTGATGTAATAAAGAAGTATTTTTCTGATCATACACATAATAAATAGATCACCAGATTCTGACATCTAAAGGCATATTTCAAGTTCTTTTCACCAGTGACGACCTTTTGTGGAATATCCTCAGCTGACCAATAAGCGTGCACTTTGTGAAATGAATAAAAAATGAAATGTATTTTTTTGGTCAAGGCATATATTCTCACTTTTTAATGATTTGTTGGTTTGACCAAAGATATTAGAATGTCTTTGGTTTGACTGGGTCAACAAAGTGGCAACTGCAGCAAATTTTAGAACAGGATGTACTATTCATATCTTAGAATGTTTTGTTAATGTGTGTTGTAGTTGCGATTGCTTGCCGACTGCATAACTTGGCTGGCTATCATACATGTATATTTCAAGACTGATTATATTTACAGAACCCAAAGTAGCTTCTAATCACAGGCTGCAGAACACTATTGATTGAAAGCATTTTTGCTTCACAACTTTCAGCTCTAAACCAAGCTAGCATTGCATTCATTTTTTTGAGTTTCACACATTAAATGAAACAGCATGCCGCTGATGGTGAGTCGTGTGTGGTGGTATGCATCCTACTAATGCAAGTTCTGGTGTTTTGCTGTGTTCCTGTGTCACATGCCATTAATATGCCATGCTGGTGCTTTGTTTTTATTTGCACATATCCCTTTATTGCATCAGATATAACTATATAACTAAATGTGTTTTTTGCTGTGATATTTAATTGATTTACACTGAATTTTATACATTTTTGTGTGGTTATATAATATTAATACAGTTTTATTACAGTTTTATTACACTGTAATGAAATTACAAATTCATTTTTGGCTGATATATATTAATATATCGCCTGCTGAATCTTTTATGAATAACCAAAATAAATCTGGGAAAAGGGCGTCAAGATGTGGTTTACTGGGTTTATGCACAGTGTTATTACTGTAAGCGAAAAAGCAGCCCAACCAGCTGTATTGCAATATAGCTCACTTTTTTACAAATAAAATAGCATTATTGATGGTTGAAATGTCACTCTTTGTAGCGGTAAGCCAGTATCAATATTGCTATTTTGTTGCTATATTGCAATACTGCTGCTCGTTTTTTTTTTCTTTCAGATAGATAAGCTTTTAGTAGAGCAAATATTGTAGTTTGAAAACTTGTCCATCATGATTTCAGCATTGTAATTTTTCCATTCAGTCCTTTACATTACAATCGTCTTCTTTAAGTATCTGTGTAAAAATTCACTTACAAATATATCATAACCCACTGTTTTCGCTTCTAGTACACAGTTCAGCTCAAACAAGAGCAGGCCCATGATGACAGCATATGGAGTGTAGCATGGGCAAAGAGTGAAAAAGATGGTTCTGATATTATTGCTACTGGATCTGTGGATGATTATGTGAAAATATGGAAATGGTAAGTGTTTACATGTTTGTTTTGTAAAACCATAATGGTTCAGCAGGTTTTCTTTAAAATCTTAGCTGAACTTATTTTTTTGCTAAAAACTACAATTTCAGTTGACACAATGAGATTTATAGTTCATTCCATAAATTATATGCAAACTTTTTGGAAAAAGTACTTTTACGGAAAATAAATTACGTTAATTATTTATCGGTTTTAATTTTGCTATTTTTGCTGATTCGCTAAATTCAATTCACTTGCACATGTAGAAATGATAGGACTTATTGTTTCGTGACCGGGTGAACTTAAAATGCAGTGAAATTGCCTAAAACATCAAAATAGTGAAATCAAATACCAGTGAAAAAAAATGGTTTTAGAAAATATAATCTTTATATAAGAAGCCAACATTTGATAGTAGTATTTGCATGCGTTGTCTCAAAATGCAGCAATATGTTGTAACAGATAAACAGAATACCCAGGGTAGGGTATCATTTTCCCATTTTGAAAAGAGATTTTATTTGTACTTTTAATCAAAATTGTTGAAGGAAACATGTTTTTTTCTGAATTAGCCTTTTATTCCATGGCTTTGTTTGAAAGCATGTTTTTTGATGTGCTCCCCCTCAGCCATGGGGGCAGTCTGGACATAAATCCTTATCTTGGCTTTCAAACTTTTATCATTGTTTAGACCTCAGAGACCTAATACAATCTTCATGTTTACAAATGCATGATGGTTCTACGACACTGTGAAGTAAATCTGTAAAAATCACATGTTTAACTAATGTTTTACAGGGAGAATGAACAGCTTGATTTGAGGTACTCATTGGAAGGTCATCAGCTTGGTGTGGTCTCGGTGGATATCAACCAAACTGGCACAAGTATCCTTTTTTTAAGTGTAATCACAATTTGTAGTTACTGTCACATTACATATTGCTGTAAAACCTTCCAATTTTTGCTAGTCACTAATTATTTTATCCAGCATGAGTTTCTGTTTCATTTCAAAATAATTTTTCAATTCAAAATACCAAAATGAGAAAAGCCACTCCGGTGAAATCATTTTCTCATGTGATGTAATCAGTGTTCAATACTAGGGCAGCCCCCTTGGTCTAGTGCTTAGAACGTTGCAGTAGGGCAAACAAGTTTTAGAATATAACAGCCGCCTATGTCTACTCCTGTTTAATACTGGTCAAAATGACGAACATTATACATAGTGAGAGTATATTTCTTTTTAGGTCATCAAAACTGTGCATCATATTAATTAAAAGTCAATTGTCACTCTATCACTCCAAAGAAGATATTAGCTTTTTTTTGGAGCTCAGTCCATTTAATTTGGGCCAACACTGTTTAAGTAGGGCTACTATTTCAGCTTTCAGATCCTGTATGCAAGCATCTCTTCGATGTTTAGTGACAAACACTGGATGTAATATTAAACAGCAAAATAACATTCTGAGTGCAGGTCTCGTTTCCCTTTAACACTAACATCTAAGCCCTATGCATAGTGTACACTACTCTCATATTACTACCACCTTGGCAAGGTACATTGTATATTTAGTTAATAGTCTTTAACCTATGTTGTCAGTTGCCGCTTCCAGCTCTTTAGACAGCCATATAAGACTATGGGATTTAGAAAGTGGCAAACAGTTGAAAACTATGGATGCTGGTCCTGTAGATGCATGGACGATAGCATTCTCACCAGATTGTAAATATCTGGCTACAGGAAGCCATACTGGAAAAATTAATTTATTTGGTGTAGAGAGTGGTAGGAAAGAAAGTGCCTTGGACACCAGGGGGAAATTCACATTAAGTATTGCATATGTAAGTGTATAAAATAGATTGGATTTATTATAACTACATGGTATTGTTCTTCCAGCAGGATGATGCTAATTTCTTGGTTAATGAAGCAGGGTTTTTTCTAGAAAAAATAAACAAGAGGGAGCACACACAGGCGGAACGACCTGGAAACGCCATAACAGAAGGTTTATGCGCCATGTATCTATCGCTACTGTAATATTTTAGTAATTTTAGTTTATTTGGTGTCCAGACACATTGTCAGCTGGTGTTGCTGGGAAGTTAATTTTCAAGGAGAAAAATATATTTGAGAAAGATTTCATGTTGTACATCAGCACGAAAGTGCGTGGCTCAAGAAATATATTTATGACTTGAAAGTTCAATCTGCAATTCGGTAAGAGGGTGCCCCTGTTCCCTGGTTTAGAAAAACCCCTGATGAAGTGTTAGTCAACTCCACTGTTTTGTTTAATTAGCAAACAGTCAGAATGGTATTGTCAGATACTGGTCATTTGCCATTTTCACACATGCAAGTTAAAACCGAATGGAGTTTTTCAATGCTGACATTTATATTTCTGGTACACTTATTCTACCGATTCAATGGGAGCTGATTATAACATAATCTTGCAATGTTGTATTAAACGTGAAACCAATGAATTTATTGCAGAGTCCAGATGGTAAATACATAGCCAGTGGGGCCATAGATGGTATTGTAAATATATTTGATATACACACTGGAAAATTACTTCACACACTGGAAGGTAAAATTATTTTTTGAACACTAAAGGTTAAAAATCATGCTAGTTTTATCTCATGGTCCAGTGAATTTATCTGTCTGACAATTGATTAAGGTTGACATGAACTAGGAACATATTTGCTTATTAACTGAATTGAAATCGTTGTAAATTTAGGGGTATGTATTATGTAGTTAACATGAGACTACCACAGAGTATGCAGGTAGACAGTGTGGTGGTTCTATTGACCAGTACATAGTGAAGGTTGATGCAATCTGTACTGCCTGAGTGCATACTTTGCACCTTAATAATTTGATGAGAAATAAAAATATAAACATTTAGTGCTGCATAAATTTGCGTTCAGTGACTGTATTCTATTTCAATCACACACTGCAGTGCTTCTGTGTCCAATGTAATCAAAGGAAAATATTCAAATGTGACTTTAATAACCTTGAACATGTTCTGCGTTGGTTATGTAACTTACCTCTATATAAATGTGAATGAGTGCACAGATGTTTTGAAACAAATGCAGACATGGTTTTTTTTACAAAACAGTAATAACAATGTTTATGTTATGTTGTATTTTTCAGGTCATGCTATGCCAATTAGATCACTGTGTTTCTCACCAGATTCCCAATTACTAGCAACAGCCTCAGATGATGGACATATTAAAATATATGATGTGTAAGTAGGACAGAGGGAAGCTAGAGTAATTTTTCTGTCTCCTGTCGATCCATAGCTTTTCAAATGCTGTCATTAGATTTTTAATGAATCTATTTTTTATTGCCTCATTACAGACAACATGCTAATTTAGCAGGTACCCTGTCAGGACATGGATCGTGGGTTTTAAGTGTTAATTTCAGTCCAGATAACACACATTTTGTCTCCAGGTATGTGGATTAATTAATAACAGTAAAATTACGGTATTTGTTTTATTAGAAGTGCACATAAACAAAAAATTGCATTTATTGGTATCCTGAATGATTATTTAAAATATGACTTATTTTGATTATACTAACCCTGCCAGTTACAGTGCATGTGCTACTAATAGAGAAAATATGGTACATATATTTGCAAATATCTCTCGTTATAACTTCATGTATCTGTGCACAAGAATTCTTTCGTAGTTCAATGTGTTGAAACAGTTTCTCAAATATTATGTTGAGAAGTAACAGAAACACCAAAACTTACTCACTGAACTTGATGTACCGTAGTGTGAACTGCTCTCCAACGACACAAAATTGGTGACATTGCATGCAAAGTACATGCAATACAAATGCTGTATTACACCCTACTGGCATGAAATATCATGTGCTTCAAATAGATATGTGACATGTATACTGTAATGCATACAAATGCACACCAAGATTTCATGAAAGCTAAGAGAGCCAAGAGACTTGTATTCTGAAAATAGTGTTTTCTCCTGTCATTGCCTAAACTCTTCCAAATAATTAGGTGACATAGGTCAGTGAAACAGTAACCATAATGACAGCAAATAATGGAACACTATTTGAGATCTTGACTGCCATCTATTATGGCTGTATGTCTTTAATCCTAATGGTTTATTTGCTCTTAGTTCATCAGATAAATCAGTCAAAATATGGGATGCTGGTACAAGACAGTGCATAGCAACATTTTATGATCATTATGACCAGGTAAGAAACTATCAGTCATTTTTCCATTTTTAAAATATTTTGATTGCCATATAAACTTTGTTTAATATATGTGACTGTTTAGCACCTCGTATATTGATTCCATGTATCAGTTTTGAAGCGTTGGGAGGAGGCTTGTCATATATCCTAAGGATGTATAATTAGCTGGCACATATTTGTGTTATTTCTCAAATATATAGTCACTGTGGTAAATTGATTTGAAATACTTTTTGTCACCAAATCAAGTAAAGTCAATATTGAATTTTGAACATTTGTGTTGTTTCTTGTTATAGGTTTGGCAAGCAAAGTACAACGGTAACGGATCAAAGATTGTATCAGTTTCAGACGACAGAGCAATACATATTTATGACTGTCCACTGTAGAGTTTACAAAGCTACGTCAGACAAAGGGAGAGGGGTGGGGTGAATGGAAGTGGACTGTTATTCACCAGTTTGAACATGAAAAGGAAATTATATTTCTATACTTCCATGTGCTTACTTGGCTTACTTGTCTTACATATACCTCCCATAGCAACTATAAGTTATAGTTCTGACAGATTGCTGTGATTACTATTTTCCATTTTTTTTGAAGGAAAAATGTCCCTGAACATTATTTAAATTTTCCTATTCCAGTTAAGAATCAGGTTTTGAAATAAACAGCCATCATATACATGAAGACAGATTTGTTTTGACATTTAGAGAGGCTTTGGCTTGACAAAACAGTTAAAGCCGAGTGAGAGATCGATTGTTATTTATACAACAAATTTTACGGTCTACTTCATTTCACTATCACCATCCCTAGTAAAGACAATATAATGATTTAAAGAGACACCAGAACAAAGCTTGGGGGAAGGGGGCATACTTTAAATGTTTTCTTTACCAAATAAAATGTACATAAATTTGTTTTTTTTTTCCTATTCAAGATTTAATAAATAATGTGTGTACACTCTTGGTTTTTCTTGCCTAATTGTATTAATGTATATAGTTAGTATTCCTATTTACCTTATACAGAGGGTATTTAACCCTCAACTCTGATTGTGCATCCTCATGTTATAAAGAAAAGGGTGCAGAAAACCCCCAATTTTGAAAGTCACTTGGAATGATAGAGTAAATTTACCAACTGCTGTACATAATTTACCTCTTTGTGTTTCATTTTATAAATGAGGAGGTAGACCCAAACTCAGAATGCTTAGATATAGTATGCGCTGGATAATGAAGGGTTTGAACTATTGTTCAAACATGGAGACATTTTAGTTCATATGAACGCTTTGGTTCTGTAAGCTACAGAAAGACATCTGGTCATCACACAGAGTCAGTTTAAAAATGTTTAGTCACCGTCTGAATGTAATTTAATAATCAATTTTTGTCCGGAGAATTGGAGTCGCGTATTAAGTTAATGATTGCAAGTGAACAGAAAAAGAAATTGGCATGATCTGAACTTCGTCCCATTTCAGAACTGACATGTTATAAAACAGTGAAGTGTAAAAATATATATTTGAATAAGTTAAAAGGTTGAATAATGGTAGCTGACATCAAAAAGACATGGAAAACTGAATTTGTATATTTATTATTCTGTGGAAATATACAACACACAGAATGGCAGACATGATGCTATGATGGCTGAACTGTCAGTTCATTGCAATTTTTTTTTTGTGGTAAACTACATCTACAATTCTCAACACATAAATTATCTGATCATTTGGTGAGGAATATGTTGATAAATTAACAAATTGATTCAAAAATCAAATATTCCATAGCAGTACATGTGAAATCAAAAGCATCTTTAATTTTATACAAAAACAGCAAGAATGTGAACAGTGAAAAATCCAATCTAGAGTAGAGAAGTGACTCTGTTACTTGTACACCGCAAACTGGTCTGTTGTATAAACACAATAACCATTATTGATCTGGCGTTTGGGCATTTACTGTCACTGGGACACTACAAAGAGTAGTATAATGCTGTTCAAAATATACCACACCAGCAATTTCAATTCATTGTTGAGCATGCAGTATGCAAGGAACAGATACTCTTTTCTGTATCTGCATAATTGTAAGTAGTTGACTATCCATACATGTCTAGTTAACATAATGTTCAATAATCCAATAATATTTAACAGTAAACACGCTATGGTAATTTTATTGGGAAACTTAAATACATTAAATAAAACACCACAAAAACCATGAATTAGTTTGCAATGTTAAAAAAACATACATGGGGCCCCTTGAGGAGAGAACCTGAGTTATAAGCCAGAAAGCACATTTCATTGCTTACTATATGGGACATTTGAAAACACATCCGCATTAAAAAAGAAAATCTTATGAAGCACATAACAAATGTGTTTGAAATAGATCTACTTCTAGTTGCACGTAGTTGAAGAGATAATATTTACTTTAAGCATATTAATTTGAAATTATCAAACCAAAACAAATCCTTACTTACAGCATCTGCAAATTAAACTTCAATACCCCTTGGTAATCAATTTTGACTCTGATTGTATTCTGTGGAATATTAAAAACCCCTAACTCGTACGCAAGGCTCTATTAGAAGATCATCTTTAATAAACATGTACATATATTAAAAATTGCATTTAATGTGTTCTGGATAATCAAATATATGACTTGCGTTGATCATAGATACATCTGTCATGTACGTGAACACTTAGTTATTAAGCATATTTGAATTACTATAAACAATCAAAGATAAAACTGAATTAGCATTTGAGAAGATACAAACCTTACTTCATTTCAGAAAATATACTTCTTCTGTCTGCCTGGTACAGGTAACAATTAAAGATGGTTACATGTATTTGATTAAAAAAATTGAGCAGTTTTTACCATGGCAAATTTATAGTCTGTGTCTGCATGTCTGATTTAGTACAAGAAAATTCCTATATTAAAGTTTTCAATATTTAATCTTCCACATACGAACTGGAATTCTGATACATATCTGATACAGATATGTGAAAACTTGCAATTTTTATCAGGATAGCCTGTGAACAATATCAATTTCTACTGCCTGTTTTCAAGACAATTTATAAAGACGTGTTCAATCTGTGAAATTTGAATATTCTATTTTTTTTTTTATCTAAAAATGTGTTTTGGACAAAAGTTGTTTTAACTATGTACACTTGAAATATTGGGAAAATATATAGTTGTTGAGAATCATGAGTTTAAATGGTGCTTTTTAAAATCAAATTAAATTCAATTTCAATGATTTTCCCTACCAACATTATTTAGCAGAAATATCACTACAAGTAATCCATGATATTATCGAATCAAACTTAAAATATAATTTATTTGATTATTCACCTATTATACTCTACAGTGCACCTTTTTGTGTAAATATAACTAGACAGGAGTGATTTCTCAAAACTGAGAAGTACTACTTGGTTTTCACTACAATACTGTAATGAAATGAGATCATGTGACTATCATGTGACTTCCAAGTCTGATCTTCTTTTCTTTTTTTTCTTCTTGGATCTCTGTGAAGATAAAATTTACAAAACTGTAATGTACTGTAGAATACTTTATTTTTGCTTGGAATTAATTTTTTGCTATTTTCACTGATGGAATGATTCAGTGAAAATAAAATCCAGGGAATATACCGTTTTTCCTATATTTTACATTCAAGCTGTTAGAAATCAGTGAAAATAAATTCCATACAAAACACCAAAAAAGTTTGTTCAGCAAAAATTAATTCTAGTTAAAATAAATTATTTTACAGTAATAATCTGTCAGCCATATTGGATCTTTTGTTTGTTTCTATTTTGTTCTTTTGAGCTACCCTCTCCTAGAAAAACAATTACAATATTTTCGCTTAAATCATAATTTTATGTCTCAAAGAATTATAAAACCAATTATGGAAATTTGCTATGCATAGTTGAAGTCAAAATTGACTCAAATTTCTATTTTTCTCTATTGACTCACAAAAACCACAAATCACTATACATGTATGTTAGAGGGAATAGTGCATGTATTGCAGAACAAAATGTCAAAATGTTAACAGCTTTGTTCACCTTCTTGGCTTGACTTGGTTCACTGCTTTGTGAAGGTAATTGTCGGAAAATTCTCTCCGCTTCTGATCTTTCTTCTTGAGCAATCTTTTCATCATCTAATACTTGTAGGCATGGCAACTGACTGATAACATACTGCCTGAAAATGATATTCCAATAAATATGTGTATAATTTATTTTAGCAATAAAGTCATATTCCCTCTTGGCATAATTTTATTCTGATGACTGTATATAAAAAATTTAATACAAATAAAACTGAGAAGCAAATGTTGTAATACTATTTCTTTTTTTCAGAATGACAGAAAATATAAAACAGTTGGTGAGAAGAAAATCTGGAGCATGGTTCTGCTTATCTCATTCCTTAAACAAGTCATATCAACCATTTTTAGCTTCGCTGTCGACTTTGTCGAGCGGAGCTTATCATATGAGTGATTGTCCATCGTCGTCGTCCGTCGTCCGTGTCAATGTTTTACTTTTTCGACTTCTTCTTGAAAACTACAAGCCTGAATGCTTTGATACTTGGTGTATATGTACCTTGGATAGACCTCTCTCAGATTTGTTCATTTCATGATGATATCTTCAATTCTCTAAAGAAGAAGCTCAACAAAGTCGACAGCGGAGCTAAAAATGAATGAAGTACTGCATCAATTTTAACTGAATTTTAGTTCTGGTCAGTTACAGTTATTGGCAGTCAGTGTACATTGTTTCAAACTGCTGTAAAATACATTATTTTAGCCTGGAATTTCATTCGCTATTTGTGCTGAAAGGATGGTTCAGTGAAAATAAAATCCACCCAATACATTTTTTCCCTATATTTTACATTCAACTAAGTCCTAGCTGCCAGAGAAAGCTGTCTGAATATGATTAGCTTAATTATTTTGTCAGATGGAAAGACAGGAAAAGGAATTAATAGAAAAAAATTATCGAAGAAGAGTTCCACCAAGAACTAAATCTGAAAAAATTTGGGTTGCTAACAATACTAATTTTCAGAGGTAATCAAGATTGCCACTGAAAGCCTATAAACGTGTCCCCTCATCTCCCGCCCCAAGTCGTACCTGTATTCTTTATACTGTTGGAAAGTACCACCATTAAAATAACTTGGTGCACCAGGATTGTCCATCATGCATAGGTATTTCAACGCTGGGAAGGATCTTGCCAACATGTCTACAAAGACTGTCAAATTGTCAATTTTATTTCGATTCAGCCAAAGTGTTGTAAGATTAGGCAGTGGTGGAAATTTGGTGTGCGACTTAATATTGTTATTATCCAATATCAGAGTGTCAAGATTGGGAAAGCCTTCCAGGAAACGAACTTGACTGAGAAATTCAATGGTTAAGGAATTTACATGGCTTAACATCAAGATTTCACATCGCTATTGTGATTCTCCATAATCAAGAAAATTTAGTGACCATATTTGATTAGATATTGCAGGTTTTCGCCTTCTGAATTTAACCTAAATCCATAATCACACCTCTACATATATACAGTCTTGGTGTAAATGGACACATTGTCAGCTCATGCCTTTATATATACATGTACTACTAGTATTCATACTGGCTATCCATCGATGCTTTCAGCAGGCCATGTGTTAAAATTTGTTATCTGCTTAAAATATGTCTCATATTAGTAACTATTAAATACTCTCAGCACAACAAACTCATTCCCTACCTTCATATATATAAATTTCAACTAGGCAATCAACAAGTACTTTGCGTTGTTACATCATTTAAATATGTTCTGATGTTTTTCAACTGGCCAATAGAAACCTCTTGTTTCAGTTTGAAATGTGAAATTTATAAATATTTATAAAGGTGAAAAGAATGCCTTTGTTGCGCTGAGAGTACTACAAAATTGAAAAAAGTTATTACATTGATACTCTAAAACTTTATAAGTTTTTATGAAAAAGCAATGCAAGTTTGGAAGTTATGTTACACTGGGACTGTGACATGTGTCAGGAGTTCTGTGATATTATCAGTCAGAACACATTTGACTTATGCTTCATGGAACTTGTATACAATAGACCATTTCAAGTGCTTTGCAACATCTCGTGTGATTCAACAAATGAGCAGCATGTCACAGATCAAGTTCAACATTTATAAACTCATAGACTCAAATACACTGTGCATATTTTTTCCTTTTGAGCACAGTCCCTCTATCCCTGATAGAGGGACTGTGTTTTGAGCAAATACTATAGTGCATATGCCTACCAATGTTTGTCTAGAGGATTACTGACAGCCAATTTTGCTATTGTCCTTTCTGGACTGTTGATACTTTCAATTATGACCTGCAAATGGTACAGTACATGTATGACTGTAGGCTAGAGGGTCAAGGCTCGAGGATCACTTCTTTGCTTCTCTTTACCTGCCGTCGTCTCTAGCTACAACCAAATAACTATAGACATGCCACCGACAATCAGTTGTCAGTCGCATGCTCTGTATTGAAAGTGTTTTCAATAGTCTGAATGAAATTGGCCATCAGGTAATCCTTGAGACAAATACTGCTATGGCACATGCAACATATTTACAATGTACCTACATGTATATATATAAGCTTTCAGATGATGTATATGTTGTTGTAGTAGCATGCTTAGTAACCCCTGATGCCACCATAAGTCACATGCCCTTACCTCTCATCTACCCTTGATAAAGATGATTAAAGATGCATCATCCAAACAAAAACAGAACCAAAATTATAAACAATATTGTCTATAAATCTCCCCTAAAAGAAATTTACCTTCCATGCACTCTAGAAATGACCCTGGGACAAGTTGTTTACTATTTTGTGCCAAAAGAGATTTATTTACAGTCACCTTCATTTTGAGAGTGAGTCAGTGGCTGACAAGGTATGAAAAGGATACGTGAACTGGTTATGGCTGAGATCAACTTCTTGAAGCCTGTTTGCATATTGTCTTATATACCTATCCGGCAGATCAGTCAGATTTTGGTAGGCAAGGGACAGCCGAGTATTTTCATCCATGACCAGTTGTATTTATAATGCGAGTCACGTCCCAAAATGATGAAACAGTGAACTATTCCTCATGTTAAGAACATCCACTCAAGATCGGCATTCGTTTGTTGTCTACGTGTGGTGGCCAAGTCACTCATCCAAGTTACATACAAGTCAGGTGATTGAAGTGACGTAATGACCTCGATCTGTACTTTGACCTGAGAATGGCAACACCATTTTTCAGTGGAATGTTGCTTGCTGGTATGGGTAGCATGTGACAATGAGTAATACCGGTGTTGGGTATACGGATATACAGTTGGAACTCTGTAGATCGTGGCCAATAAGTTTATCCCGCAATATATGTGAAAGAACGACGTAATGCATGCTGTAGAAATCAATGCAATGTTACGAAATGTATTTAAGGTAGACGACAACCCCTACACAAATTTACAGATGAAACAGTCCAAAATGGCGGCGGTCCCGTTGACGCGAACTTGTAGTTGGGATTCTTCTTTCGTCCAGGTGAGTGTGTATTTATTTGTTTATTTTGAAAATAGTATAACAAAACTATGACTCTGTTGATACCGGAAGACCAAAGTCGAAGGTTTATAACAACCGCATATCATGAATGCCATCCGATCTGACAACAATAACGACGTCGTGCCAAGTTTGTTTACTTCAAACCCACACCAAGTTCCGCCTATTAAATGTATTTTGTTCACATCCTTCTCGTTGCAAGTGTTTATATCGTGTTTGTTTTAGGTGGATTTGGAAAATCCTTCGGAGGAAGACGAACCGGTTACAACATGTTCAGAAGATCCTCAGTTTAGCGACAAACCAATTACATTAGAAACGATGGGCAAGGAAACATTTCAGAGGTTGTTCGACTCCGATGGGAGGCTGGTCGATGAACATTTGTTCAGAAAAACCGTCTTTAGAGGTGGGTATTGTGGAACTATTATTGTGGGTTCTGATGCAATATGTCAGACGTGTCAGTAGTGGTCTCATTTATTCTTATATTTTTGAGTGTGTGTGTGTTTTGACAACAGAACAGTGTAGTACTAGTAGCAGTGGAATATGTTACGTAATTACCGCGTGCTTTCAGCACTGTGGCCGACCATGCCACTAAAATGACCGGACAGACCTCAGACTAGTAATACAACAGACTCGCAACGCCTATTGTTTAAGGTGTTAATCGGATTAATTGTATATGCTACGTGTGCCACGCTCTGTAGCATTGGCATAGACACCGTCGAAGTTTACCGAACACTGGATATTCTGCACACTTCGCGCTTCTTCGGAAATTGCGTATTTCTTCGTAAAACGGGTCCGGATATTTTTTTAAAAAACGGGAGATGCGTTCTGGACATTTTTAGCCTTTGCAGCTGTGTAAGAATTTTAAGAATCGACCAAGAATCAAGGGAGTTACAAGTAACTGAATGTGTTAGTGTTTACCTCAAATAGTTTTTGAATATATAATGAGCAACTTTGAAACGATATTTCTCGCTGTTGCGGATTTTGCGGAAGCTTTCCAATATTTTTTCGGAGAGAGCATATCGCTGTGTTTTGAACGATCATACTTCTTTGTGTGTTACTCGTTTTGTTTTCGTGTTCCGGGATGCCAAAACATCAGATAGCTAGTGTCATGTACATACTAATTCTCTCAGCGTATCAGCGTGATCGGGTAACGGTAAAAACTGGAGGTGTGTTATTTTTGTCGCGTTCGACTTCATAGTACGCGATTTACGTGTTGTTCAGTGACTGTTTCAATTTTCTATTGTGTGTCTGTATTGTTGCTATTTCGAGTTTCACTGATTTTGTTTGACTTCTGTCATAGTTTTGTATAAAAATAGCCCAGTATATTTCTTCTTATTCTTAATTTCAGGAAATAAAAAACACGAGATCGATCAGGGGTTGCAAAGTTCTACAGAAAAATTGTCATTATCTTCGTCAAAATGTTCTCCTAAAATAGCTTCCCATTTTCGAAGTTCACTGTCAACTGCTGTCGTCTATGCCACTTCCTGTCTTTATGTCTCGCGATGCATCGCGATAGTTGATTGTATTATGAATAGATCTCGCGTTATTTTGTGAAATATAATGAAAATGTTGTTGCTCAGCAACGTTTACTCGGTACGATAAGAACTGATAAACTAAACAAACGTGGCAGCATTACTTCAAAAGAAAACGCCGCGTTGCGAGTCTGTTGTATTACTAGTCTGAGGACAGACTTAACTCTCCTTACTGTTGTCCAGTTCACAACGAAAACGTGAACACATGTCAAGGTCACGTTCACGGCAGCTGCTTGTTTACATTACAGCCTCCAAAATTGAGAAACCTTTTATAAAGCTCTCTTCTAAATATGCCAATCCCCTGATTTACCCGTATATTTTCAGTGCCACAAGTTATTAAAAACACGGATGTGAACACAGTCGTAAGCTCAATACAGTTTCACAATGATTATTGATCCCCCCACCTCCTGAAATTTAGTATTTAAATTTTTGTCATCACAATGAGATATATATATTCATATTTCAAACAAATAATGTAATGTTACTCAAAAAATTTCATTAAAAGGATGAAGGATTTTTTTATGGTGTACTCGCATGTAGGAGAGTCTGGTGCTATCACATCAAGGAGGAGTTCTATTAGATGATAGATCAGTTTCATATGTATCACATTACATAATAAAAATATTATATTAGAATTCCCTGTAGAGAGGAATCTCACATGATGACATCACATGATGATCTGGTCCTTTCATTTTCTATACAAGGCTGTGTTTATGTTGGACAGAAAACTTTGTTCAAATATCTACAGGATCATTGTTACCTTCTCAAATTCCATGTGACTTCTCTATTACTGGTATAAGGGATGGACCATTAAAAATATTTTCCCTAAGAAATAGGCTTGCATATTTTTTTGCATGTTTTATTGTCAATTTTGCCATTGCCCCACCCTTCAATTTCTAATGGTCAGTCTCCTAATAATTATTTATAGGACCCTAAGATATTTCCATTGCCAGCGTGGATTATGATCTAAAAATGACATTTTGTTGCAAACATTATGTTTCATCAGTTTGTATGCATGTTATGTTTAGACATACTATTGACAAACATTGTATTACTTGTTTTACAGAAAATAATTATTGATCCTCATGAAATCAAAAAATCTACATACCACTTCAGTGTTCAAACATTTGCCTCATGGTTTAAGTTTTTTCCCCAGGTATTTATTGTCATGAGACAAATTGTTTAAAAAATGTAAAAAAAAAATACAAGTGACAATTTATAAGTTTAATATAAAATTCAAACATGTTTTCAGAATAAACAATTGAGTACACTCTCTACTATAAAAGAAACAAAATATTTTCTGTCTGATCATGTTCTTCATGGATAAGTAATTGTTTAATACTTTCTAAACTGATGTATTAATAAACAATTGTGCCCCATATACTTGTTTCCTGGTTCCAAAACTGCCACTTTCCTAAGATTTTCTCAAGTCATCATGTTTCAGTTGCGATGTTTTGGTCAAACATTGTACCACTTTGAAATTTCAAAATATTTTCCTTTGTGAATAAAAATGTTACAATACTAGAACGTATTACAGAAAATAACCGATAACCTTTATGTAGTCGGGAAATTGACAAACTAAATGTATTTGTCAAAGTAAAGTTGGCAGAAAGCCAACTGTTTGTCAGCACTTATTCCAGAAAATACTTGCACTCATACTTACCGGTACATACTGAATTCCTATTTTGCTGTAGAAATATTGTTACACAGTGTTTTTTGCTGTGGTACAGTATGTTTTTATACTGGAACTGGGTGAAGTTATTGAAAACAAGTCATTGAAAATGACACAGTCCTCGTTAAATTATTGAAAGTTCTCTTTGTGCTCGTCATATTAAAGCGGAGGGGTTGTCGCGAGCGTGTCCTTGAAACTTGAGGATACAACAGATTGTTTATTTACATCAAAACACGTGTTCCGTGTAGTAGTAATATGGCCAAAAATAAAAACAGTCGTTATTCGGCCATCTTTGATCTGATTATGAAACACACTGATATGTATGATGTATGTGCCAAATACGAATGAAAATGGTACATAAATTGTGGAAATATAGTAGTAAGGCCAAAAAGTCAGATGGCTGTCAATCGGTCATCCTTGACCAGATTTTGAAACAAATTGTCATGGACATGCATCCTAACATGTATAATCTATGTACCAATTTTGAATGAAAACTGACAAAGCATGTCCAAAATACAACATTTTCAAAAAACAAGATGGCTGCCAGTCGGCCATCTTTGATCCAATTGTGAAATAAATCGTCATGGACATGTATCCTAACATGTATAATCTATGTACCAAGTTTGAATGAAAACTGAAAAAGCATGTCCAAAATACAACTTTTTCAAAAAACAAGATGGCTGCCAGTTGGCCATTTTGAATCAAATCACTAAATTACTGCATGTGCATATGTTCCACATAAGGTACTAGACACATGCAAAGAATGAATGGTATCGGTCCACAGGATTCTGAGATATGACTCCGGACGGACGCACGGACGGAGACCGAATTACAAGTCGCCGTTTTCGGACTTCGTCCGAACGGGGACTAATAAATGTATCCAATCAGACTATCTTCAGAGTAAATCATCTCTATGGGATCTCCCAAGTATCAGAATGTTCAACCTTCAGGCAATGATTGATTTATTTTTGTAGGTGGAATATGTGAAGAAGTACGTAAAGATGCCTGGAAATTCTTGTTTGGCCTTTATCCATGTTCATCCACAGCCAGGTAGGTAAGAACTGGTCAACACCAAAACTCATGTATTTATTTTGTGCCATATGAAGAAATTGGTTCAGCTATGTGTATCCATTTTTATGTGTTGGGGACATTTATATTGGAGTTAATGTTTAGTTCATTTTCTTTTTGTACGCTTTTCTTTCAGTTGATTCAAAAATAATAATTAGAATTGATGTCAATAAGTCAGACAATAGCAAGAAGCCAAAAAGACATTGTTTTCCATGGTTACACCTCCAATGGAGACAAAATAAACTAGTTTTTACTGTCATAGCAATATTGTATCGAACATCAAAACATCAACATTGCCAGCTATGTTGCTGACCGCTTTGTTATGTCTCGAGATCGTTGCCTGATTAGAACTGGTTAGTTCAAACCACTTTTACAAGAGTACGCCATTCAGCAAAAGTGACACGTACCACACCATCGCCAGTGTCCAGACATTTCATACTGTGTAAATACTTAACTTTGCCATTTATTATATAGATTGAATAAATGCTGACAATGTTGGTTTTTTGGTGTTCAGAACAATATGATGTGGCTTACATACACTTCTATTGAAAACAGCAAAATACAGAACTACCCCTATGTTTTCAAATGTCAATGATTTCTCAGTATCTACTGGTAATAATTTTTTTGAAAGGAACTCTAGCTAGCTAGTTATCTTTAATTTAATACCAGCCATTTATTTTTATGCACTTAACATGGCTGTCAGTACCTGCGTTTTTTTGGTGTTGTTTTTGTGTTTTTAATAAAACATTTTTTTTTGCTGTTTTGAATAAATTACCGTAAAATCTGTATTAGAAGCTGCATCACTAATAGAAGTCGCACCCATTCTTTTTGAATTATTGATGCTGATGCTCTAATATTGTGTTGATGCTCTAATAGAAGCCACATCCCCTCTGATGCATTGTACCATTTTAATAGAAGCCGTGGCCCTTAATACAGATTTTACAGTATTATGAATTCAATGCGTTGTTGGCATGTAGATTGAATGTTACAGGAGTTAAATCAGAATGCAAATCATAAAAAGGAAAAAAATAGTCACTGGCAGCAATAAAAGTTAGATCTGTATTTAGTCAGTTGTTTGGTAGAATCTGTGAAAATTGCAGATATTTTATAAAAAATGTTGAAATGTTACAGCTTCCCTAACTGCCAGTTACCCCCTGATTGTGTTTTCCATAATAAAATCACAATGATTAATGACAGCTTATTTTTTTTTCAGGGAGCGAGAAACTCTTGCTCTGGAGAATCACTGCAGGTACCATGCATTGAAGACTATATGGAAAAAAAACCTATCATCACCGCAGTATAGTTATTGTGTTGATAAACCTGATTATTTGACTGATGACAGTCAGGAACAAGGTAAATATGATAGCACTATGGGTAATATATCCACAATGTTAATTAATGTTTATATAAAATTTAAAAGAATGTTGTCACTCATATTAATGCAAGAAGATTAAGGAGATCAAAATAAGAATGAACACAATTTTGATCTGTAAAAATAGCAGAATTCAAGGAAAGGCACAAGAGCTAAGGTCATTATGCTTGACAGTATTTTGTTTTATATTTTGACAGATGAAGTATTTACAAATGAGATTGAGTCTCTCAATAGCATCACGGTCGGTGGGACACGGAAACTTAGTGAAGAAGTGAAACAACAGAAATGTTTTGCTGATATACAGGGACAGGTGAGCATCCAATGACTGTGCTTGGGTCATGCTATTTAGTCCATAGGGGTGACAGGTATAGTGAACAGAAAACAGATATTGCTTCTAATTGACAGTGGTGCAGCTGAAAAAAAGTGCTTAAAAAAAAGAACTGGAATATTATTGTTGGTGTTGCTGTTAATCTAGTAGTTTCGCATTTGTTTACAATGTAAATAACAGAGGTGTGTCAAAGGTCAATTTAAGTTATATTTTAATGAACCATATTAAATAAATGCAATTTTCTATTGAAGCAAATATAATATTCCTTTAATTATATACAGTGTAATCTTATTCAGCATTATATGGCATCGTTTCAATATGTTTGAGTGGTTAATTAAACTTATTACTTTCTTGATGTCTGCTGTAAAATATTCAGTTCTGGTCACTCCTGATTGATTAATATCAAGTTTACTCTGTAACAATCATCCCTACATTCATGTACAGGTGTATGCTGGTCGACAATCCATTGATATGAACTCAGGCTGCTGTGCTATAAGAATCATAGATAAAGATGTACCGAGAACCGACAGAGATCATCCCTATTTTCTGTAAGTTGATTACTTGTACTGGCAATATTATCACTGAATTGATGTGCTGTGTACATTTAGTGAAATACTGTAGAATACTTTATTTTTGCTTGGAATTTATTTTCGCTGAAGGAATGATTCTGTGAAAATAAAATCCAGCGAATATACTTTTTTTCTCATCAAATATCAGTGAAAATAAATTCCAAGCAAAACGCTCAAATAGTGAAAATAAAGTATTCCACAGTATGCAATATTAGTGATTCATTTCCTTTTATTTTTTCCTTAACTTTTTGAAGTTTTGTCAATTATTGATCAAAATCTTTTGCCAAGAGATTTGCAATGTACATAACATGATTAAAAATGTGACACAAAAATATTGTGGCATTTTCTTTCTATAGAGACCTACAAAATCAACTTTGAACCAAAAGAAGATTATGATATTTTTTGTTGATATTAAGTAAAAATAAGTAATAATCTTTTTTATTTTTTATTTTACACAGAGGTGATAAAAATCCACATTTATCAGTACTGCGAGATATACTTATAACATTTGCTGTATTTCATCCAGGTAACCATGGCATAGTCAAACTATTTCTATTTGAAGTTTTATATACATACACCAGTATGTATTGTTGTTTTTAAAATGTACCAGAGTCTGTTTGGTTTATTGAAAAACTGAGCATGGCACACTTTAGAATAAAATGTAGAACTTTACAAAATGCAAGTATACATGTATACATTTCAAAATTGGACTGAAATCCATGCTGTGATTTTTTTTATGTGATAATAATTGAGTTTTATTTTTGACTTGATACAGATGTAGGATATGCACAGGGAATGAATGACATAGTCAGCAGATTTCTCATCGTCTTCAATTCAGAAGTGGATGCTTATTGGTGCTTTATTAAATACATGGAAAACATTCACACAGATTTCGTAGAATCCGGAATGCTTCGGAAAATCAGTAAGTATTTTGCAATGGTGTCAATATCAATTGTTTTAGTACAATTTATACAATGTGTATGCTAAACTTTGACCCAAATGTTTTGCTTCTAGAACTTCTAAGGCAGCTTTTACAGGAAGTTGACAGACCCCTCTACAGGCATCTTAATAGATGTTGCACGGAAGACTTGATGTTTGCACACAGGTATGTTAAGATTTCCAGTCTTTAAATCTTTGAAAGTTGTTTCTACAAAGTCTATACACATAATTTACTCCTACTTACCATATTGATTGGACACTGAACTGAAAACACATTGACTGAATTCCCCACAGTTGGCTGTGTGTTGCAAATATAGAGAAGGTTAAATATAACACTTTTTTGATGTCCATGTGTTCGTCTTAGGTGGTTGATGTTAACTTTTAAAAGGGAATTTCCATTTGAAGATGGATTGAAATTATTTGAGATAATCAGTAGCCACTATCTGGAGTTAACGTCAGTCGAGGCTGAGAGAGAACGAGACATGGAGAGAGCTCGAGAATTTGAGAGAATTGGTGAGTGATAGAAAGGCATTTTTTTATTTTGTGAGTTCTTGCAGATATTAGACGAAATTTTGTGCAGTTGAAAATAAATTAAATTTCCAAAAAATATAACCTTCCACACCTATCGGGGGGGGGGGGGGGGGGGGGCTTGGTCGTTTCACTCCCTCGCCAGTGTGTGCTTCCTCTTGTTCATTTTTTCTAGAAAAAACCCTGATTGACCATAGTTTTTTTATCAGCCAAAGCAAATCCAATAGAACCCAAGTGTAGTACTCATTATACGTTATATTCTTTATACATATAATGGCTATGCTGAAAGTTTTAGTAGATCGCTATCAGATTTTGAGTGTACAAAACAAATTTGCGACCACACTAATTATTTTTCTGTGAACATTTTCATTTGTTCACTACAGAGGGTGGTAGAATCCTAGAGACTGAAATCAGCAGTGCTAACAACGACTTCACCTTTGAACTATTCGTGTGTGCTGCTATACTGATAGAAGAAAGAAAGCTGATATTGAAATGTGACGACTCTGCCTCTGTCTTCACTACAGTCAATGGGTAAGCTAGAGGGTAGAATCATTCTCTACTGAGATGTGTTGTTGCACATTTGAATTTTGAATTCTGAAACGAGTCATTGCTATTCGGTTGTGGTGGGTGTCATTTATAGGAATGTGTAGTTCAAGTGCTTTTCATTCTGTGCCAGCTGTCATTATATTTGAGAGGATGATGTGCATCAAGAATGATCACATCAGATTTTGTTTCCTATTCCAAAGTTGTTATTTGTCCAATCCAATCATTTCCGCTACGTTGGTCATAATCACTAAATAATAAATATCAGTTGGTAAATGAATAATTTTTTTTGTCTGTAGTTTGATGTGTACAATGGATCTTGCCACAATCATCAATCGAGCAGAGAACGTCTTCCTCTCTTACTGTAGAAAATCAGCACAAGATTGTTTTGCCTTGGTAGAGTTGCCTCAATCAACGGTGCCATACGTTGCACAGAATCATGGGTACCTTTGAGTCCCCTGTAGGTATTGACATCATGAGAACATGTGGAGTTGTCATACCTGATTGTCATCAGAACATGTTATCTGCAGAATCCAGTTACAAGTAATATTATTAACCAAGTTAAATTTACAAAATTTAAAGTTTAATATAAAGAAAAGTACACATGCCTTTCCACAATATTGAGTTTCTTGTAGTAGCTCACATCTCTGCCAACATTACAATTTATACACAGTGTATTGTGTATACTTTTGTGGATTTATTTGCACAGATCTCACACAAAATTTATTCTATGCAGTTGTTTAAAATGTGTTATCAGAGATTAAAGCATTTCTTTGTGACTAACGAGTATTTAAAAAAATTTCACATCCTGTTCAGATGTGTTGCTGAAAAGTGACATCCTGAGAAGAGTGAATAATTTGTATTTGTTAATTTTTTTAGAAAAATCTTTACAAGAGAGTATAGAAGACATTATGGTTACATTTGATACACATCAATACCTGTGTAGCAATATATTCTTTCTTGTTTTAATTTGAAAACAATTGACCATTTCCATTTATTTGTTATTTTAGTTAATAACACATGGTCACAGGGTTGTTCTTGCCTCATCATAAAGTGTCTCAGTGATGGATTCACTACTCATTATACTTCTATTATTTATTTGATGAAGTGACTTACTGTAAAATCTGTATTACAAGCTGCGGCTTCTATTAAAATGGTACAATACAACAGAGGGGATGCAGCTTCTGTTAAAGCATCTACACATATGAGGAATGATGAATTTTTGATTCTCAATTATTCAAAAAGAACTTCTATTAGGGTTTCTAATACAGATTTTTAGCTCCGCTGTCGACTTTGTCGAGCGGAGCTTATCATATGAGTGATTGTCCGTCGTCGTCGTCCGTGTCAATGTTTTACTTTTTCGACTTCTTCTTGAAAACTACAAGCCCGAATGCTTTGATACTTGGTGTATATGTACCTTGGGTAGACCTTTCTTAGGTTTGTTCATTTCATGTTGATATCTTCAATTCATGTGATAAAGTGCAATTGCTTTGATATTACATATATAGGTACTACATGTGGACCTCTCTCAGATTTGTTCATTTTGTAATGATATCTTTAATTCTCTAATTTTGGTGAATATTTTTATCATTTTCGGTAAAAAGTGATATTTTCGACTTCTTGTTAAAAACCGCAAGTCCAATTGCTTTGATACTACATATATAGGTACTACATGTGAACCTCTCTCAGATTTGTTCATTTCGTGATGATATCTTCAATTCTCTAATTTTGGTGAATATTTTTGTAATTTTTGGTAAAAAGTGATATTTTCGATTTCTTGTTAAAAACCACAAGTTCGATTGCTTTGATATTACTATATAGATACTACATGTAGACCTTTCTTAGATTTGTTCATTTCGTGATGATATCTTCAATTCTCTAATTTTGGTGAATATTTTTGTAATTTTTGGTAAAAAGTGATATTTTCGATTTCTTGTTAAAAACCACAAGTTCGATTGCTTTGATATTACTATATAGATACTACATGTAGACCTTTCTTAGATTTGTTCATTTTGTAATGATATCTTCAATTCTCTAATTTTGGTGAATATTTTGGTCATTTTTGGTAGAAAGTGATATTTTCGACTTCTTGTTAAAAACTGTAAGTCCGATTGCTTTGATACTATACATATTGTTCATTTTCTAATGATATCTTCAGTTCTTTAATTGAAATGTGCATTGCTAACAGCGGAGCTATCTCAGCCGACAGGCTGCTTGTATGGTATTGTTAAAGAAAGTTTTCACGATTTATCAGCACATTATGCAAGAGACAACTAAATCTATATTGTTGGTAGTTTTAACACTAGCCATAAGCCATAACTACCCGGTAAGCATTTTTTACTGTGTTTTTTGGGGGGTATATTTTATTATATTTAATGCTTTTATCTTAATCTGTCATTACATATTTTTAAAGAGAACATTTAGTATATAAATGTACATGCATTACAACTTTTTATTGTGCTCTACTAATTGAAATGTGTGAATTCAAAGATTTGAATTTTGTTGATATATTTTGCATATACATGTATTTAAGTTAGCATGTGGTTTTGTTGACAGCAAGCAGACACCACGACCCAACGCCTGATCATAAATACATGTTTACACAAAGTTCAAAAGTACCAGGATGTTTGAACTTTAGGGGTCATGCATAAATACCCATTGTGTTTAGCTGAAGCTGTGTTGACAAGACATAATACAAATTGTAATAATGTATTATCACATTTATGCACATACTTTTACAGATAAATGTTATACTTTAGTTATGCTATCATTTGATTTACTAATATTTTCTAACAAACAAATAGATGTTCCTATCTGCAACGTTACTTTAGGTGGAATGCTCAATAAACAAGCAAGGCATCTGTGATTGGCTTATCATTTAGGTGTTATGGTAAAGTAACCAATCAGGGTTACCTTAAATTACCTTCCGCTCATAAAGTTGACCGAGAGCAAGTCACAGCAGTTTATACAAGCAGTATGGTGGGCAAGATTGATAAGATCATCTCTCGGAATTAAATATCATTTTTGGGGAAATAAAAATTTGGACAGTAAATGTACATGTATATGTAGGTTGCCATGACAGCAAATGCTTTTAAAATTACCACCAGGATTGATAGGAACCATAAAGCAGTCGTCACTGTGACACAAACAGTATACATGTATAACCAAATGTACATGCAGAGTTAGGGTATGGATCACAAGATGAATGCAAAAACATTTCTGTAAATTTTTATTAGCAAGTTATATTCTTGGTTTTTCTAGTGTCCTTGTATTTTTTACAATACATTTTAGTGTACTGCATGTTTTTACTTTGAGTTCTCTCATTTTCTTTTTAACAATTTAACCTTCCCAAAGCATCCATGGCATTCTGTGATGCTGTTACTGATAACAAGTAACATGCACAGAGAACTTGCATTGTAATATGAAGTTCACTTTACACATTTTCAATGGCACCTTCAATACATATCGGTGTGTTAAGTGGTGATACTTGCAACCAATATTTTACCATCTCTTACCAAACTTAATAAAATCTAACACCTAATTTTGTATCCCTTTCCTGGGGGACACACTGCAGAACATTTTCATGCTTGTTTCCATCAATCAAACACATAGCAGTCTCCATTTGCCAGACTATGCACACGAGATAAAATTACGTGGGTTTGTACATATGCCATGTTTTATCTTTGTTTGTGATATCAGTTTGTTATTTTTCAAGTGCAATATTAATCTGTCATGGCGGATTATGTTGAGATTTATGATATAATATAATAAAGGATTATTTACCTGTTGCTATGGTAATTCTGGCTTTGGTTGTCTTTATTTTATCAATGACAAATGAAGAAAAGTACTCGTAAAGAAACAAGCCAATCATGATTTATTTTGTATCTAGAACTATGACATGCATGTACACGATTACAGTACTGGATTTACCAGTAGTAAAAGTTACTTTGTGATTTATTGGCTATAGATTGTGTACATTTTTCCAAAAATTACACAAACTGGAAATGTTTTTTGCAGCAGTGATTCAGATACACCCAAAATACGACAAATAATTAGAGAATGTTGTTTGGGAAAACTGAACTCCTGCTACAAGGCATATTAGGCTGGCCTCTGTATAAGCAGATGACATCAAGAAATGAGATTCAACATTAATTTTACTGTTAAATGCAAACACATGCAGTCGAAGTCGGAGGATACGCCACAGGTGACCCTCTTCATAGTAAACACAATCACATTAAATCACCTTTTCGTCCTCTGAACCTAGTTCGGTTGTCAAGCTGTGGAAAAAAAAAAAGTTTTATAGTAGCATAAAGCAGAATTTGTCAGAATTTGCTGTAAACATCCAGAAAGTTGGTTTTCACTTACCACAGATCTCTTGCATTCAAAAAATGCCACTCTGAGTGCATTGCATTCCTGATTGACCCTCCCTTCTTTGAGACATTCTCTTGGTGTCTTCCCCTCCTGTTAAATAGAATTATACAAACTAAGAATAGGAAAGAGTTCCATAAGCTCCCCTCACACTCCAGCCCCCCAATGTAATTCAATATGCCCCTCCAAATAATTAAAAGTGACCCAATGACTCGCATATCTTTGGGGCGAAGCTACGTTACAGAATGTTCTATGGACCATTCTACCATGTATTTCTATGGGCTCTGCAAGGAAATAGCACAAACTCAACTTTGAAGAAAGTAATTCTGAGCAATCGTATGTATATATAGGGGTAATCTTGTTTTCTGGGAGTTTTTGGCTTTTGTTTTCACCGTGATGGTTGCCAGGTGGTGAAAATGCCAGGATGTTCGCCCAAGGATACAATTGCAATGGAGGAGGGGTACCCGAGAGAGAGGCAAGGTTAGGATAATTGTTATGAGTGAGGGGGCCCTAGGTAACTCTTGCCTCAATATCATATTTTTTAAAACAATCGTAAACAGCCTTGATTGCTTCTTTATTATGATGTAACCCAGTTTTAGTTTCCATGGAAACGAATATGGCTGCATCTCTTCTTTCTCAGGATCTGAAATCTAACATTCAGTAAATTGCTAAATTCACGAGAAATAGTCCACAGCTCTGTCAGCATGACACCATACCCACCCCTCCCATCAACATGTCACCTCGGGCTTGGCGAGGTATTATCATGGATCCCCACCTTTCGTACGCAATCACTAGCAAGGAGGCACATCTTGAGGTCTTCCCTTGCTGCAGCACAAGGTCTTTTATCCTGTAACTCTGGCCTCTCATCCCAATATTTTGGCATTTTATCGGTACAATTCGCCCATGTGAATTCAAGTAAAAAAAATAACGCCGAACAGTAATCGCGGCTCTAAACAAACTACGTCACGTTTAAACGTAGGAAAAGGTAAGGTGTCAAAGAAACGTATTTGTTTGGCATCAGCTATTGAACCTCATGTGAAAGGAACATTGAAATTCGATGCGACGTTTTACATGGGCGCAGACATTTTGGATGATGGCTGCTGGGTAATGCGTGATATTTCTGCGCAGATCACGAATATGAGTCAGATAACTAAAACACGTCAACAGTTGGGACTCGTTGACTAAAATTGACTCAATTGATAACCAACGCGTTTGGATGTTATTAAGGGCGACAGACACCGTAACAAGACCCATTTCGCAGCGCTATCTCGACGTGATATTTGCGATATACTATTGGACATTTGAGAAGGTGGGTATCGACTTGTTCCAGTCTGGAGTTTCTAAAATTATCGTGCACCAGAATATGCCTGCAAAACTCTGATTATTATATCCGTTGAATTTCCCTGTATTTATTGTAATATTTACAAAACGAGAGTCACCTGTCTGATGACGTCGTATTATTTCGATAAAATATAGATTAGCGTAAAATACGACATGATACAGGAAACTTTCAGTTTTAGACTAGAATTCTAAATCAGATTTATATTATAAGTGATTTTTATATTTTTATTGATAACTTATTTCGCTATTTTTCAGTTATAATGTGCCAGAACATTACACTACGCCATGTGTAATCGTCTGCAGCTAACTTGACCCTGCAAAAGTCATATTTTGGAAGATTATAGGCTGGTAACTTCCTAATTTAGGGTCTTATTTACAAATAATATAATTCCTAGTATTACTAAAATGATTCTTTGGCAGACTCCAATAGCAAATTCAGTTATGATAAACATGTGCTCTGTCCTAATGAAAAAAAAAAAATAATTAAATTTATCAGCTCTGATAAAATGGAAAAAAAAGGACTTCATTGTATGTGCGTGCCACAATTAGCAGTGAATATCCTCACAGTATCCCCAGTCATAAGATATAGAATGACTTAGCTAACTTTGACAGATGACAACAATGTTTAATTTTCTGACCATTTTAAAATATAATTCAGTAGCATAATTTTTTGAGTGGTCAAACTAACCATTATAGTCACATTAATAATAATTTATCATGGAGAGGTTCAATTCGGACAAACAAAAAGTTGACATGGTTTGGGGATGTTTTTGTATGATCCAAATTATTAATCTCCATGTTTCTGCTGTTTAAAGTTACATGTATATATGTAATGACATTGCTTTTTTTAATTTGTGTAGAAACAGTGGTATATATTACATTGGTGATGTTGTATGGTTTTGATTAAGGTAGGGTTAGGGGGTGATGGTACTTCAGGAACTTTTACTGGTTAAACATTCAATAAATCTAATTTTTGATCACAATGCATATTTTGGAGATGCAGATCAATATATCTAAAAAAAAAACATTTAACATAATCTATAAATGGGTCCCACATATTACATCATTATACACATTTGCCAATTGCAATACAATGTTAATTTTTACAGACATGTTCACAAATTCCATGTTGTTGACAAAAGTGGAGACGTCGCCACCTCCAAGTCCAACTGGAGTAAACAACCCCAGGATGCAGGCCAGGCACACAGCTGGGGCAAAAAGATACAAATACCTGAGAAGGATTCTCCGGTTTCGACAGATGGACTTTGAATTTGCTCTATGGCAGATGCTTTATTTATTTATTGCCCCACAAAAAGTGTAAGTATATTTTGTCTCCCCTTGAAAAAATATACTGATTTTTATGTTCCCAAATGTGAGAAGAAACTATTGCAATATTTATGAGAACTTTCATACAGACATAGCCTGTGAATATTTTGTTGCAATTCAATGTCAATGTAGACATTTTGGCAATAACGGTAGTTAGGATGCAATAATTATTGCCTACCATGTCAGGCTAATTCCAATAGTGCTATCATAAATGTTTATTTTGATTTCAGTTACAGAAATTTTCAATACAGAAAACGTAAGTAACTTTTTATGTCCTTTATTCTTCTCTTGTAGATGTACTTACATTATGTTCTTAATTTGGAAAGTGCAATATTTGATAATTGGTATTTTCAATCTCTAATCAAGGCCATGCTGCTGTTACTGTGCACATGCATACATGTACCTGATGTAACCATTAGGTTGGCCAACTTCTAATAAACCCAAAACTAAACATTTGTTCATATGTCTCTATCCAAACTTATTCGTTCACTGAATGCAGGCTTTAACTTGCTTTGTATTATTATTTTCAGAGACCAAAGATCAATGGGCTCGTGATGATCCTGCATTCCTTGTGCTACTTGCTATTTGTCTTTGTGGTAGGTATTTTTAAACTTGGACAATAATCAAAATGGCTTCAAAAGTGTGGTGCAATAATGCTATAAAAACGAAATTGTATTCCATTTTTTTTTTAGTTCATCTATTTGTATTTGATATATCATTTTCTTTACAGTGTCATCAATCGGCTTTGCTATTGTCCTAAAACTTCACATTGTAGCGTTCTTTAAATTTTTGCTTTGGGTGATATTTGTTGATTGTATTGGAGTTGGTCTTGTCATTGCAAGTATTCTCTGGTAAGTTTCCCATTTAATTAAAGTTACCGGGGGTAGTAGTTTTTTAACACAAGAATTTTCTGAAATTGTTGAAAGTTGTTTCTTTGTGATTGATTAATTCGAAAGCTAAAAAAACACTAATTTGTTAATTTATGAACCCCAAATTGTACGCATTTTAATCGATTTTTAATTTAAAATAGCCACTAGAGTGTAGTATTGCTACAGGGATACCACAAAGTAATTATTTACATGCAAACAAGTTTGTATACCCCCTCTTCTTCCTGTTTTTTCCCCAAAAACTTCTGAATGTATTTTGATCAAATTTAGAACATACAGTAGGTACTTTGGGGTAATTGTGCAGAAACAATTTGTTTTAGGGCTATGTCTTTGCATATTACCGGTAAGTAGCTAATTTGCCTATTAAATTCGCAAAATTAAATCTCAAAAACTTCAGAACAGATTTATCATCAAATTTGTTATATATTGGTGCTGAACGTCTCATGCCATTGTTACTTCACTGACTGTTTTGAATTTTCATTTGCTAGATATGTTTTTACAATGATTGCATATAGTTTGTGTTCACGCAAGAGTTTTGCAGCCATTAACTTTGATTCACAGATACAAGCAGATTTTGAGTTAGAATTTATCACAATTCAATAAGCCTTGGGTATTGCACTGTGATTAAATGACATAGTTCTATCTACCCAGGTTCATTTCCAACAAATATCTAAGGAGTTCCAGCAGTGATAAGCCGCAAGATGTTGAATGGGGATTTGCCTTTGATGTTCACCTCAATGCATTCTTTCCTCTTCTCATGATACTACACTTCCTACAACTGTTTTTCCTCAAACGTAAGTAGCGTTACTACCCATTGACAAATCTCTTGTTTTAGTGTTCAAGAAATACCCAACATGTACTGTGAAAACTAAAATTAAAATAATTTTTTAGAGATATAGGGTGTTATTGCAAGAGTAGATAAAATGCTTATTATTTGTTATCATGAAAGCTGTTATAAAACCCTTTTAATACTTGTTTTACCTTTTAAAAACACATTAGTAAAATTAACACTAACAAATGAAACTTCACTTTGGCAACAGGCAATATATACCTTGTGTTCGTCAATATTCTGATATCTGAAACCATTGATACTGCTTATAATCAGGTCTGAGGATACCATAACTACTCAACAGTCTATGAAAAAACATGGCAAATCTGAGCTTAGGAATTGGTCAAGCATGTTAAAACATTCCCTCATGTTAAAACTAAGTTGAAGTATACATATATTTCATAGCAAACCATTTTTTTTATATCAAACCTTTTATATATATATAAGGTCTTTTTTTTGCAATCAAAGGCCTGTGGCCCAAAATACATAAACTATAACTAAAATATAAAGTAACAATATAGTGTTTATAAATTTCATAACGTAATTTAAGGGAAAGAAAAAAAAAAGGCTGCAAAAGATTTGAATTCATTTCTGTCTTCAGTCAATAACAAGGTTAAAAGCTTCTCATATGAGGGCGGGGTAAAATAATATCTAGGGATGTATGTTTTCCTAAATTCATCAAAGAAGGGACGAATCAACAAAAAGTGTAATTTATCTTCAACTTCTATGTTTTCACCAAGTGGGCAAAGGCGTTCAACTCTTGGGATATCATTTCGCCTGTCGTTTTTTATCCTAAGACAAGAAGAGCAATGAAAATGGGATAACATAAACCTATGATAGGGAATAGAATTAGCAAACAAATAAGGCTCTGGCTCATATTAAACCATTACTATTCAACATTGCTGTTAGAACCTAAAAAAGTAAGTTAGTTATTTTGTGTGTTTGTCTGCAGTCTAGATGATTATTTGTTTTGTTTTGATTCTTCCTCCATCCATAGCACTGTTTACTTTCCCTCAATGTTTTTTTATTAATTAATTAATTAATGTTTAACCATAAGTCCAAAAAGAAAAACTTGTAACATTCTGTAAACATTTTAGAAGCCAATAAATACAAAAATCTACTGAATAATTGCATGGTCAAATTTTGAGCGGGTGGGGGGGGGGATGAACTTTTGAGGTTTTACGACTTGTCGTTGCATAATGTGTATTACACAGTCACAGTAAAATTTAAATAGAGCATTTACCAACATTGCAACAAGCTGACATCATATGCAAATGTCACACTATAAAATACTTTATTTTAGCTGGAATTAATTTTTGCTAAAAAATAACTTTTTGGGTGTTGTGAATAGGGTTTATTTTCACAGAATTTTGAAGAGTTGAATATAAAATACAGGAAAAATAGTATATTCACTTGATTTCATTTTATGGCCTTGAAGACACTATACTGTCTAAATAGGATATTCAACCTAATTATTCAAGAAACAGATGTATAATATTGTCCTATTGTAAGTGGACCACACATAAATAATAATGCCCAGGTATTATCTACATCCTTATGTATTTATTCTATTGATTTCAGCTGTTATTGTCCATGATTGGTTCTTTTCCTATTTCCTTGGTAACACGCTTTGGGTGATTGCAATTGGTTACTATATTTACATAACGTTCCTTGGATATAGTGGTGAGTATTCCAGCTGTGCACAGTTTTTATCTTCCTAATGCAGAGTGTTCTGTGTATGTCTGTCTTCCAATGACACCTCAAATAGCAAACAACATAGTTTGCCATTGGAAAAACTTTAACTTCACTAGATTCTAGATTTTTGATTTTATTTAATTAACAACTTGTGTTGTTGTGACAAAATCAGAAACAAAACATACAATACCTCAGTTGAGTTGATATAAAAAGTATGACATCTTATATTGTACACAAGTTGTACGTAATTGACAACAAACATTGTAGTACTTGTAAGTCACTTGTGTCTACAGTATTACATATATACATATTATTATACAAGGGTACTATTATTCAACTTCACTAGAACTAACCATGATGGTCTCAATGAATATTTTACTGTAATTAACTGAAAGTGAATGTTGTGCATTAAAACTATATTATTACTGCTTTGTTTTTTTCAGCATTACCTTTCCTGAAGAAAACTGTAGTTTTGTTGTACCCGCCGATGTTGGGACTTTTTTCTTTGTATGTCTTGTCTCTTCTCATGCACTGGAATCTGAGTAAAGGGCTGATGGATTTCTACGAGTACAGAGTCCTGTAAGGAATGTGAAAGGACTGACAAGGAAAACAAAACAAACAGTACCCTGTGTAACTTGAAAATATGAAAAACTTACCATTACGGATATTTGAATGCAAGTTACGCAAGTATCCATAAAGAGGTGGAGAGTTCCAAGAATTATTTATAAATATTTTTATGTTGAGTGTATAAGACAAAAAGTGTCTTGTATAGGTAAGATTTGGGAATGGGGGTTATAGTGGAATTATGGTGTAGTAAGTATGAATCACAATTTTGTATTTATCCTGTATTCCACAAGGTGGCATGTTAGATTCACCTGATCCTGTAGGAAAAAATACATATTTGGCTGTCATAGGCTCACTTAATACACCTTTGACTGATGTACTGTCTACACCTGGAAATGCTGTCAAATAATTCACTTCTAATGAAGTACTATGTTTGCTCTATTAGAAGTGCTTATGCTTTGGGGGACATTACAGGTGTATGAGGAAAATAAATCATATTGTAATTATGTCGTATACAACACATGTAATTTTTGGTTTTTAAGTGATTCTATTGAAGATATACTTCTAAGAGAGCAAATATGGTCCCTGAATTCTTGAATGTTAATTTTTTGACTATTTACTGTAATAGCAAATTTCGCAGTGACAACAATAATTTTCTCCCAATTTGCATGCTTTATGATTTGATAATCTAAGGGCATGTACTGATGTGCTCCAGCATGATAGTATAAAATATCAGATACGACTGGGTAACATCAAAATTTGTCTTTTATTTGATTGACTCTTGGTAATCATAATTTTATCAGTCATTATGAATACATTACTTTCTGTTAAAGGGATACTTACTACAATATGCTGTTACTTTAAAAACAATTTTATTTTTATTTTCAGTAGGAAAGATTTATTGCTTATCTGGTCTAGGAGGAGGGTGTGTTTTGATACATATGTGCTATTCTACTTAATGGAAATCATTCAGTTATACATGTCTTGTACCGGTATATAAATTGTACGTATGGTACATCAAGCCTATTTTACTCTAGACACTGTAAATTGAAATATTCATCAGGTGAAATCTTTGAATGTGTCTTTTAAAGTAGTTTCAGCAGCATAATTGTTTGAAGCCTTTGGTATGTAAAGTATTATACATATTAAACATAATAAACAGTTACCATTTTGGCAAGATAGTTGCGTCAGAAGTTTGTTGTCAATAGCCAAAATTACTTTCCGAGTATTTCCTTGGATTTATTTGTGATTGATTGATTGATCATTTAATCATCAACTCTCACTCAGGATTAAGTTTTCCTGTTAGATGATCGAATATGGTCGTATCACAAAATCGATATGACATTAAAGGGTGGTGGTCGTCACTCGATGTATGCGCCAGATATGGGTCTCATAAGACAGTGACTTTGACTGTTGCGCAAACCAATGTGTACATACTGAGAGGTTACCAAGCTTTAATTTGGTGATTTTTTGGGGGTTTATTGTAGTGCAGGCAATAATAATATATAAAAATTTCAGGTTTCGATCAGTATAACTCAAATTAAACTAGTGAAAAGTTAATGGTTCAATGTAATTGTATATGCCCCTCTAAATACATGTTCCGAAGGTGGGACATATACAATTGAAATGAGGGAAGGGTACTGGAGGAGCAGGGCTAAGGAACTCTTGTATTTAGCATTTTGCTGGCATTACAATTTTTATTAGGTAAGAACACTACAAACATTTTTATTTCTTTGACTCGCAAATGAAAGCAGTTTACAGTATTTTACTTTTGCAAGTGGGATATTAATTTTAAGATTAAATTAACGAAAATGTGTTTTTCACATTTTAACCTAAAACGATGTGAAGTAACCAATACGTCACATTCATTAAAAAAAATACTGTTGTGGGACTAAAATAAACTATGCAAGATAAAGAATTCTTACAGCTTTTGATCAAACGATTGGCTGTATATGCTTTATTGTTCGTGGTATTATTGATGTGATTGCAATCAATGTATTCCACTGAAATAAAATTAAATAAACTGTTATCTTCCGAAGACGCTCATCTACCTTGACCTCTATTTTAACTTGCTTATCACAGCTAGTAATTAGTGCCAAATTAGTGACAGATATACAATGTCTTGTATTTGTTCTGTTAGAAGCATATCCCTAATACAAGTGAACATAAACCAACAGTTGCATGGATTATTAAATCTATAAGTAAGATATTGTACATTGGATTTAAAGCACAAATTTTAAAAACTGAACGCTTTCTATTTCATCAATTTGTGGTACCTGCCATTAGAGACAAAATAATACTGCAGTTCTCCAGATGGCTTCACACATAGTTTACAGAGTGCCCTTGTCAAAATTTGAAAAGTTGTTGTGTCTTCTTTTAATAAAGCCTATCATTCCAAAGGCTTTCCTAACAATAATTTCATAACGCACAAACAGAAGAGCAGAGAGTGTAAAGGCACACCTGATGTGGCACACAACATGGTGGCAAAACCATTAATAATCGCACATCAAGTTCTGTTTGAACTTGTGCAACAACAAAGGGTATGTTGTCGATAGTATCTGTGATAAACTCCACATAACTGTCTGAATTCGCTGATTGGATCAACCTTTGATAAATTCATGTTGTGATACAGTAGTTCCCAGACATGCTGAAAACAGGGGAACACAACTTGTATATTAACAGCAATACAGGTATGTGATGGAAATTATGACTTCAGATTTGACACCTGATTTATAAACTGGTGGCATTGACAAATTTAATAAGTATGGGGGAAAAACACCTGTTGTACATTATACCTAGTGTAGGTATATCATAGAAAGTTCACTAGCACATTCTTTCAGCAAAAAAATAGACTAGGTTCTGCCCCACGATATCTCGAGAAGCATTCATCGATTTCGTAAAAAATCTTTTTATACTCTTGAGCATACAGGATTGGTTTAGGGTTCAAATATGTGCATACTAATTACCCAATTTACATAAATTAGCAACAAATACTGCAGGATCCAATAATTAGATTTCCAAAAATGTACATCATTGTTATATGGTTGAAATGTCCAAGTTACTTACCCATTTTCAGCATTGCTGTCATCCATGACAGAGCAGAGCTGTTTATATAGGTGATAGTTCATCCGTCAACAATTTCATTTTCGACGACTACTTGAAAACTAACAAATCAATTGTTTTGATACTTGGTACCTGGGATGACCTCTGTCAGATTTGTTCATTTCATAACGATAACTTCAATTCTATTTTTGGGGGGAATATTTTGGGTAAAAAATTATATTTCAACTTCTTCCTGAAAACTACCGACTCAACTGCCCCGATACTTGGTATGTAGGTACTCTTAAAAAAATACCAGCCCAGGTCAATTGATTTGATATGTAGGTTATTTTTGTAAACAATTTACTCTTGACTTGGCCACCACAATGTTCTTGTAGGACAGTGGAGCTATTTGACTGACAGTTCACTTGTGTATAAACATGCCATACATGCACATTCCCAGTTATCAAATCTAAGTTATATAGTTTTATTTATAGTCATATAGTATGAGTACTTGTCCACATTGACAGATATTGCTCTGAAACAGCATTAATCAAAACAAAATGGCCTCCATTCAGCCATTTTGAATTGGATCGTCAAACCAATATATCTGTACATGTATGATGAATATATAAACTTTGAACACTGTCAGAGATATGGCACTAGAACCACAAAATGGATGCTAGCCTGCCATTTTGAATCTGCTCTGACAAACAAAATGTGCACAATGTTCAATGTATAAACCAAATTTGATAATCCATCTGAACAACTGAGAAATGCTTGATTTTGATGATTTTTCAGTTAAAAAACAGCCGCCATTCGGCCATCTTGAATCAGATCTTGAAAAAATTAGATGTGCATATGTATAATATGTGTGATGTATTTGTGAAGTTTGAATGTAATTGTACCAGGCATATCTAAGATATGCACAGATGTCAATCCACAAGTCCCAGTTTTTTGGACTGTGTCCAAACGGTGACTAATTAGACCACTTAATGATACATTTTTGTGTCTTGTTGGCATGGGATACAAAAATCATAGATGATGTAATGGTACAATCAAATTGTTTCCCCATGTTGGCATCAGCCTCAATTCTGTGCATCTCTATTTTAATCTCTTAGAAAGGCAATGAACTTGGCTACAAAGAGTTGGATCATTTTTGGCTCAATGAGATCAACCAAGCATTTCTTTGTATTAATGTTTAGAAACACAGAAGTAATTATATTTATGACTGGTATTGTGTCAATAATGGGGTAAAAACATTCAAGACTATGGAGCTTCATACTCCATCAGTTCACTAACGCATAAATGCAAAATCATGACAAATATCTTGGGACACAATTATATTTTATTTGTTGCATAAAGTGAACAAAATAAATAAAGGAATATATATATATAAAAAAAACTTAATGCTCGATTCATTAAAAAAAACTTTTAGTACAGACATACCAGTAGTATTAGGCAGATAGTGCTAATCACAAAATCTGTGATAGATTCAAAGTAAAGAAACTGCAGTCTATTAAAACTGAGATACAGTACAAATGTGTATGATTTGTTGCAAATGCCAATATTATTTGTAAGGATTAAATGACATTTGTCACTTTCGTTTCTTTACATTCGAAAGTACAACAATGTGTCTGTGATGGAAATAGAAAACTTGTTGTACACTACAACCATACTATTTTTGCCTATTCTAAGTAGCACTTCCAAATTATCGCAATACTACTTGATAAAAAAAACTAGTAAATTTCTTAATTTCACTAAAACTTTTTAATGTACCAGGAACAATAATAAGTAGCAGTTGTGAGTTATATTTCGTGATCGGCACTTGGCACAAAAAAAATCTGAAAATGATTGAATTCTTTTTGCACTTTCAATAAATAAATAAATTTCACAGCGAGAACAAAGCGTATATATTCATGGTTATATAGTATTAAAACAAGGAATGAAATGGTGGCACCTTAATGTGTTGTGATCAAAATAGAAATAATCAGGAAGTGTGAAATAGGTGGATTATATGAACTGACAATTTTCAAGTACTATGAAAGAAAAGGTGGCTACTATAATGTGAATGTGAAAACATGGGCAAATTCTCAATAATTAATGAAGGCATCAACATACAGTGGATGGCAGAAACCTGTACCTTCATGCATAAACTCATTTATAAATACTGACCCTCTGCTCTCACTCAAATATGTAATTATGATTGGCTCAAAAACATTCTCTACACCCATACTGCACGCACTGCGACTGGTTACTTGTTCGAATTAAAACATTTACTAATTACATGACATTGAATTATACTGGCTACAATACCATTGGCCAATTAAAAATCCAACAACCATTTTGAATTTATAAAACGTTTCTGCCACCAACTGTATTCATTTCCGTCATTATTCATTGACCTTGTTCTTGAAAGTAAAACATTCCATTATGTTAGAAGTTTGTGTGTCGGTGGAAATCAATGTACTACACCTACATAGACAGTGAGAAAACATTTTTTAAATACGAATAAAAAGAATTGGCCTCAAAATCCCTTTAAATTTTGAACAGGTTTCAGTTCAAAGGAAAGTTCACCTTGTTAAAAGGAGATCTCTAATTGAAATCAAGTCTAATGTATGGAGGCTAGGTTGACAGGGGCTAAGAGCTACAGTAGAATCGCACTACATTCAAATTTGTGATTCTGATAGTGAGGGCACACTAACAATAAAACAAATCATTATAGATCTACAAATGTGTCCTATGTGAATCGTGTAGTGCAACCTCACCAAAAATCCAATATTATTATCTATGAGTACGTTCACTGGAATACTACTTGTGTTCTTTAACACTTGATATATTGCGATTTCTTAATATCATTTGCCTCAAAAATGATCTGGAATGGGGAAAAATTACTCCCCTGAAAATGAACTTTTAGCTGTTTTTTCATTAAATAAACTGACTGCATGCATTTTCTCTGGCAATACAGTAAATTAATTACATTTGCAAATGCCGCCATGTAGTGAGTAAAACTGAACAACTAATTTACAACATGATCAGATTTATCCATAAGTACTTTAAATTGTAACTATCAATCTATTTATCGTTTACATCAGAGAAACAAGACTACCACTAAAGTTCAACATCTGTACACAAGACTACCGATGAATTACTAATTAAGTGAAATACATGACTGTACATGCTGTAGCGATGCAGCTATATCCTGCAAGAAGCACTGCAGTTTTTTGCTGTCACAGTAGCATTCGTCGCACACATGCCTCACCAAAGCTACTGTATCTGTCAAACTGTCAGTTGGTCATGGAAGATGTTCATAGCGTACCTCTCAACAAGGTTCACAATAAGCGAGCCAATTTATGTTGATAACTTGAGGCATTTGTCGTGAATGGTGCATTGCGAGGTAAGCTGCTGTGAATATAATCAATACGCGACTTCATACTAGACTTCCACATGTATACCGTGAAGAAACTTACACCAACCCACAGAGAGAACGTCTGACAAATATTGCACATCTTAATCAATAAACAATGTCTTTTTTTGTAAAATGTCGATGTAAAAAGCTTTTACGAGAAGCCAAGGAAATAGAGAGAGTCTGGAAGCGCACATTAATTACAGAGAACACATTTGGAGCAATGCCGTAAACGGAACATAAGCAAAGATGATGGATGCAGCATTTCATCCCCACTCTCTGCAGTACAATGATCCAATTGTTTGTAATTTTGGTTCAATCCATTGGGGGTGAAACGTCACAAGAATATTTCATCTGGAAAGGTGTGTATTATTTGGCTTCTTCAACGGTGGTTATCAATGACGTCCTGAAATGTAAGCAGATATAAGGATACTTGTATTAAAAATAAATTGATATTCAAAACAAGAATGTAATTGGTTGAGCAACAGCTGAATCATCATCGGCATCACAATAACAGACTTAATTTCAGGTAAAATAACACACTAGGTCCTATTTAGAAATTACAGTGTGTCATCGTTAAACATTATCAGACAATACACGTAGAGTATTACCGTTACTCTATTGCTTTCTATTGGTCCTGAACCTACGGTTTGATGTTACTTTGGTAGCAACAAATCATTCAATTTTTCAGTGTTTTCAGCAGGGTTTGTTAGGTATTTATTATGATATAAGAAAACTCACATGTAATAAAGCATATATCAAAATTAAACATTTGTTTATGATTTACTCAGTAATGTTATCTATGTATCTCAGTACAAATCCAGAAACTCGTTCATGTTTAGTCAGCGAACAATTCAGGTTTGGGGAATAAAATAATATTACTGATTGAACACCTAGCATATGTTGATTCATCATAATAACATGCACACTATCTCGCACAGAGTTGACTCCTCATCCATTTGCTGTGGGTTGTTCATTCCTCCTATTATATTAGAGGCAGATAACAGCATGTGTGAATAAAGGCATATTCATGGTAATTTTTCAAGTATAGAATCCATAAGTACGAAATAGCTTCTTGCATACATAATTCTGGCTGACATAGCCAAGATGTGTTATCCCAAATGAGTGACCATGTGATAAAGAAATGTAATAAATACAGCCACTTACTGTAGTCACTTTTTCTTACTCTTAGGAGAAGTGGTTTGGAACACACTGGATGCAGACATCAGGTTCTCAATGTATTGTCCAAGCACTTGGTTTTCAGATTTCAGTTTAAGGTTCTCTTCCTTCACACCATCCACACGTGCAGATAAATCTACGTGCAAATCAAAATTTTAGAATCAATTACACGGTAGCCTAACTGAGGGACGGTTTGTTCAACCTCCAAGGATTCAGAATGGAAATTTAGAGAGGAAACCTAGACTATATGTTGTCTATTATTGTGAGACTTTAAAAAATTATAAATAATAGACTAGTAAACCGGTCTGGAGGGCTGTGGGCGAGCCTTACCTAAGAGTCAGTGTGTGCATGCAAGTTTCCATGGTAATGTACTGAAGTCGTGGAGACAGCCAATCAATAATGACATTGAGCCAATCAATTCTCTGCTGTCTACACATTTACGTAGCAATTCACCATTCTTGAGTACACTGGGAAAGGCGTGATTGCAGGCTACATGTAGGTTCACTAGTGTATTCATGAGTAATAGTACAATTATAAAGTGTACTGCTGTCCATATCAAGTCAATTAGTAGTTTCAGCATATCAGAGAGTACTAACAAATCCTGGCCCCCTTTAGACTGAATAGAATTTTTCTAGTACCTTTCATGATCTTGTATGATTTGATAAATGAGCAGCATGTCACAGTTCATAATATAAATTTTAAAGTTGGTACGAGCAGACTGATTATTTGTTTAGCAATAAAACAATAACAATGAGTTTTAAACAGTAAGCCACAACTGCAAAGTTAGTTTTACAAAAATCGATTTATCATTATGCTGTTAAAAAAAAGAATATTGAAATCCAACATTATTTTCTTTTATTTGTTTAAAATAATTACAGCATTTTTGAAAATTATTTGGACAGTCATTTAGCTTAACATTTGCTTTGTTCTATACCTGATGGCACTACTTGACAGATGGAATGCTATATGCCTATGGGATTCACCATTTCATAGGGGTGGTCAACACGATGATCTACAAAACTAGAGCATACATTCAATAACTATTTTATAAATTTATTGTGTATCTACATTGCATGTTATTCAAGAAATGTTATAATTTTGTAACGATTAAATAATCAGTTCGTGCTTTACCCTTGTCTAGTAAGATAATGAAATTATCTAAACTGTGTGAACGCCAATGGAACAGTGCCATCAAGTCTAAATTGGACAAAACCAACCAACCAAAGTTGCAAGCCATCATGACAACGGACTGTCGGAATAATTTTTAGAACTGCTGTACATGCAAGTCAGTTTTCTTTCCAGCAAAATGCTAAAGCATTGTGCCTAATTTGCATTTAAAACAAGGGTTTACCCGTTTTTTCTTCTTTCAAATTTAAGTTTTTGTCTTCAAAATACTCAAGCATCAGATATATTATGCTTGAAAAGGCCTTGGGAAAACTCTGATAGTTGTAATTTTGCACAGCCTTACACTATGTAATGACTATAGGAATTTTTCACCAGTACACTGTAACATTAATCTTTGATGTCTATGCAGGAGTGCCTTAGGCAAGTAATAACTCTCTAATATTAATAACATTTAATGAAACCACCAGCCTCCAGTGTGTACACTGTTAAAAAGTCTTTTACAATGAATCATATGTATATACTGCTTATATGAAATGTTCAGACAGTGAATTATTTGTGTTCAAGTCTTCCCATACAACTGTAATACTAAACCTATGTCACAAAACTACAACTGTCAAATATTTAAATATGCTCCAATATAGATGTTTAATAATGATTGATTACAGTTGTATGAGCATGTACTCAGACAATCAATTAATTAAAACTGCATTATTATAATGAAGTAATGCCTTAGATTTGAAGATCACGTATTGACTTAGTTGAAGTCTTCAATCAATTTACTGTTTAATCAATAAATTAATTTTAATGCACTAATTCATTAAATACATAAGCGAATAATGAAATTTATACAAATAGCAGATACTACACAGAAAATTATAAGACAATATATGTATGTTTGGCGAAAATATGTATGTTAAATTCTGAATTGGAGTCAGTGTCTCATATTACCCTTACTGGCAGAGGCAAATTTGTTCACAATAGCTGAGCAAATAACCTAGACTACTGATATACAATATACATTCCATGAGGCACAGACTTTTGTTACCGTATTTATCCGAGTAAGCGCCCATGCCTGGGCACTTGTTCGGCTTTAGTGTCATGGACAATGAAACAAATGTTGCAATATTGTAGCAACCCATAACCAGAAGGAATCAAATTGAGCTTTATAAATCAATAACTGGGGCCAGCAATTTTGCAATGTCAAGAAAATTATTCTTCTGTCGTTGGGAAATAAAAATTCTTGCTATTTCAAGCCCACCTCAATATCCATATAGTGAGACATTCCAACTGCTGAATGGTAACTTTCCATATGATTGATGAGCGTCTAGTCTGATAAGAAAGCAATGTTGACTTGATCTCTATGATGAAACACTAGTAGTGATGTCATTCTTAGCCAATCAGTAAAGCAGATGCTTAAAGGTTAAAAATGATTGACAGGTGGTGAACAGAAGCATTGTTTTCCATTGTAGCAGAGTCGTTTGCCGTGACCCCATTTTTCTTGTCTCTTTATTCTGGTTAGACATGAATTAATTAAATAGCCAAGCTAAATCCATGGATTAAATGTGCTAAGTTCAAATTGAGTGCGACAACATCAACAAACTTCAGGACAAAGCTGTAGTGATTTTGTTCGACAGCCGCAGTGACGCAGACTTGACTTTGAGGATTCTGACTTTTACAAAGATGGCAATGAATTTTCGAATAACTATGAAATTTCGTAATTTTTACTGTGTAAATTATTATTGATCTTGTATGACTGTTGATCTGGTATTTGTCAAATATTTTTACACAGTTTTACCCTGAGACTTTTGTTCATTTTGAGTTCATGTGTATTGGGCATGTTTGTCAGTGGGGTAATCCTAATTCAAATGATTCCTCATTGTCGACTTCTAAATAAATTATTTTACTTCTAATGTTGCATATTGTTCATTTATTTTTGTTGATTTTTTTTCATTTACCATTCTACCTCCTGTCGCAGTTTGATCTGCGTGTTAAAAATGTTCGTGAATTTTTGTTTTTTGCAGGGGATGTTCGGGTATACGCCCACCCTTTTTTTTCGTCCATTTTCCATGTTAAGGACCTTCGGCGCTTACTCGGATAATCACGGTATTTATGCTTGAGTTTTGATGTATTTTTGACCATAATTCACATACTGCCACAGGAAATCAAATTCAGCAGTATGTGTCAATAATCAAGTTATATATTTTGTAGTAAAAAACAGGATTCACAGTCATTTCTTGCCAAAACACAAACCTGTTTCACCAATTATGCAATAAAGAGGTTCATATCCATCAATAACAAACCCAGGACACTGAATGACACTCGGACTGTTTGGCTAAAAAAGGTTTTGCTTATCCCCATCACAATGGTTTATTGATGTACAAAATGTTATGAATTCATATGGAAGTTAGTATTCCGATTGAGAAATCCAGCAACGGTGTTGTGACACCAGTCTAATCTTTAAAAAAAAATGCTGCGGCAATGTGATTTTTTTTTTGGACATCAAGCAACTATTTGTGCATGCATCAGCAAGAAATTGTGGTAAAAGTTCTTCAGGGCCCCTCACAGTTACCAATAACTAACCCTAACCATGCCTCTCCCCCCATTTTAATTGTATATATGCCGTACCTTCAAGACACGTACAGTTATCTGGAGGGGCACTTACAATTACATTGGGGGTGCTAGGGTTCTTTTCGATAATGCACCACCAATGACCATTGGAATGGCTTTAGTTCAAAGACATCAACTGTTTTAAATAACAGCATCATATCCATACATAATTGCAGGCATATGTACTCAGCATGGTATAGAATGTTGCCATACACTGTATCAGAATAATACATGAAAACACCTTTTTAAATCAATTTTACCAAGACTTTTGGTTTATAAACGATTTCCACTTACTCTGAATGGTTTAAAATTCATCTAAAATTGCGGCTCTGCAATGCTTCAGCTTGCATCATTGGATATTGGAAAATGGAATTTGATTGGCCCGCCCATTGTTTACATAAACATTATCAGAGGTGCTAATCATATTCACTATACATAACATTGTCTGTCTTGAAAAGATGCATTGTCACACTGGCAACTGTGGGGTTAGTGGACACCCAGAATTAGTTCTTATATACAAATAAAAAATAATAATACATATAAATGAGATTACATAAGGTGATAAAAATGCACCAAGTTAAATTAGTATTTCAGTAAATTTTACTACTAACATACTCACCATCTAACGTGTTCTGTAACTCTAGAACTTGACAAATGAGCCTGGCTTTTTCTTCAGCTTCATCGTCAGTTATTTTATCATCACTACAAGTGCTGCTTGGGGTACTAGCAAACTGACTCCCCATACTACTGCTTTGCCGCATTACACTGCGAACTTCACCTATGAACGAACAAGTGGTTTACTATTAATTTACAGGGCGGATTATAACGTGTTATTATATCATAATCGATCCCATTAATAATAAGTACATATTAAAAATGAAATTAATAAAAGTCAAGGTCACTGGAAAAATATGAAAAGCGTTTAATCAAATTCCGGAAATAATGACATTACGGTCAATTTTATGACTCCGACTTGAGTCCTGAATCATCCGTTGACCGCCAGACAATACGATTACTACGACGTTTTAGTTTGATACTAAACTTAACCGAGGCTAACCTACCTTGCTCACTGTCATCTGACAAAGACACATTAAACATCGCACCATTTCCAGCACCACTCATCGTGATCTTTGAAAGCGTTTAATTTGAAGAAATATCTAGTCTAGTCAGTCAGTCTATTTGTATGCAGGCCGCCAGCGCCTTCCGGTTTTTCCTAACGACGTCTGTTAGAACTGCCACTCTACTATGAATTTTTCTACTTCATGCGAGGTAACCTAGGCGTAAATACTCGTGCTTGGTTAGTCCAATATCTGTGCCGTTTCTATCGGTCGCGAAATCTCTCCAGCAAAGGCTAAATTTAGTAACAAAACACGGGAATTTAATAAAACCTCTCACCACCGTCGGCCATCTTGCCAGTAATGACGTCACTAGAGTTCAGGGCATGATGGGAGTTAAATGTCTGGCGCGAAATTTGGTGACGTCAGGGGGTGTCCCATAAACGCTAGAAATTTGGAAAGGTGCACATCTGCCCATTAAGCGGTATTTTGTGAGTATTTCTTTTATTTTTAAGTGTTGGTCTCGAAAAAAAGTTCATCACTTAACTAATGTTATCAGTAATCCTGCGAGGCAGTGATTGAATCGATTGAACATGAAAAGTGGTGTTGTTGTCCACCTCGACTTTAATTAAGTTTTCCAGATCACCTCTGCGTTGTTATTGTTATATAGTTGACCCTCACTACATCTGGAAAGATTCCAGTTGCAAAATATGTTGTGTTTTCCATTTGTAACACATTGAATTCACAGTAATGTACCAAATGAAACATTCTATTCTGCGTTATTTGTGTGATGTCAAACTTATTTTAGCCCCTCTCGCCCTTTACAATAATGGTTTATCCCTTGTGTCAGTGGTGGTGGGGATCAGCACACCACCTTACTAACTTCCTGTGTGATGCCCTGATTGTTTATAGTTTAGTGTTGAGTGATATAGAAAACAGACTGGAGCAGAGCGTCCTTGGGTGTACATCTTACAGTCCCCATCTCCAAGTTTAAGTACTTCATCATGGTGAAAAATACATATGGTAAAACTGCCTGGGGAAAGGCATTTCTAGATGCTATGGGGTAAGTTTGTTTTTTCATTGCTTGCTTGTAGCATGGAGGTAGAAAAGAGCTTTTCTACCTCCATGCTTGTAGTAAGTTTTATTGATAATTATAGCAATATTTCTTGCATTGGTATGTGTTCTAAGAAGCATTATTTTGGCTGTATACTGTAGAATACTTTATTTTCGCTTGGAATTTATTTTCGCTGAAGGGATGATTCCGTGAAAATAAAATCCAGCGAATAAACTTTTTTCCCTATGTTTCACATTAAACTCATGAAAAATCAGTGAAAATAAATTCCAAGCAAAACGCCCAAAAAGCCTTTTCAGCGAAAATTAATTCCAGCGAAAATAAAATATTCCACAGTACATGGTATTTTGCAACTCTACATACATTTCATAAATTGCCACACATAATGCTGAAAGGTAAATTGTAAAGAAAATAAGATTTGTTCTACTTAAAAAAAGGGGTTGAAATTAATGGCGTTCCTGTATTAATTTTTCAACCAACCTTTCCACTGTCAGTGTATCAAATAATACAAGATTAATGTTGCTGCAAATTGTAAAGACCAGCAGCACCTAGATACTATGACAATGATTGGCCAAAAATACTGGTGTCTAGTTTAACTCATCTCAGAACATACTGTGAAATACTTTATTTTAGCTGGAATTAATTTTCGCTGAAAAGGCATTTTGGCTGTTTTGTATGGAATTTATTTTCACTGATTTTTGACGAGTTGAATGTGAAATATAGAGGAAAAAAGTATATTCGCTGGATTTTATTTTCACGGAATCATTCTTTCAGCGAAAATAAAGTATTCTACAGTACCCTTTTACAGCATTGTATGTCTTGTGCTTCTCTTATTTAAATTTTGTTTTCTTAGTTAAAATTAAGAAATCAGGTGAATTGTTGGCGAATATTGAAAGTTTGTCCCATGCAGGCAGGAAGCGGTCAATACTTGACAGGAAGTCTGTCACATTGAATTGTTTTCATTGTTCAATGAATGAGCCTATGGATATGTGAATTAACTTTGGAGAAATGCACAATTTTATCTATCTAATAATATCAATAAACCACCCACTGTTATTACAGAATATTTTTTTGATTTTAATTGATGAAATAATTGACATTAGCGGGTGATAAACATTCAAGATCAAAACAAGCTTTCAACATGAATCAGTTGTTGCTAGTGCAGACATTTTTGCTTTAATTATATTCTTCTTTTTTTTTTTTATATGACAGGAGAATAGATATGAATGCCAGATTGGGAAGAGGTAAAAGTTATGCAAATACTGGTAAAGTGGTGAAAATCACTATCAATGGATCACAGGTATCTTAGACAATTTATTTTCTACATACTGGAGAGTATTATATTTTCACTTGGAATTTATATTCTCCATTTTAAAAACAAGGGATGAATCAGTGAAAATAACATCTGAAATGTCTTTCAAGCAAAAATGAATTCCGATAAAATAAAGTATTTTATAGTGCCAATAATATCATTTGTATATTGTCAATAAGCCGTTTACGGTTTGGTTTCCAACTGTAAAGTCAAAGTAAGATTTTTCATCCTGTTTCTCTGCAGTCAGTTTTATATAAAACCATTTCCATATCACAGATTATTTGAGACATCACACACAGATTGTGTCATTAAACATAAATGAGCTGCCGGTGTAGACATAAGAATGAATATTTGAGACACTGTAGTACTCGTAATTTTCTTCTTTTTTTTTTTATTCAGAACAAGATTTTGACTTGTTGATATATTAAAGCTATTCATGAATAAATTTATAATTTGTTCTTTCAATTTAAAAAATGTATTTGAGACACAAGTATAATAATTTCCTTTTTTATTTAAATTTTGATAATTTAAAAAAAAAAAAGATTTTGACTAGAATTGCCTCTGTCTGTGTTGTTGATTTGTAATGTATGTTATGGGTTTATTATGCTAATGAGGTTATGAATATTAATGAGCAACCAGTACTCATACCTTGGCATTTAAATTCTATTATATAATTTATTTTTTTGATAGAAAGCAATCATTTGTAGCCATTCCAATGTTGGCATCTCTTTTAAATAATGATTTTTATTTCAGGTCAAGGCAAAGGTGATGGGGCAAATGATATATACAGTAGATGTGTTGTATGAAAACTTCAAACAAGCCAAGAAAAACATTGTGTATTCCTTAATTGAACAGAATCCATTACTATATGGCCATATAATCAATGGTGAACTACCTGCTGAGCTGATTGGAATGATTGAAGAGGTAAGCAAGGATAAACATTGGTTTTGTGGGTTCACCCTCCAGCTGACTCAGAAGTATAAAATAGATTACTGTGGAATACTTTATTTTCGCTGGAATTAATTTTCGCTGAAAAGGCTTTTTGGGCGTTTTGTATGGAATTTATTTTCACTGATTTTTGATGAGTTTAATGTGAAATATAGGAAAAAAAGTATATTCGCTGGATTTTATTTACACGGAATCATCCCTTCAGCGAAAATAGCGAAAATAAAGTATTCTACAGTATCTTCTGTCTAAATCACAAATAACATTTAGCAGATTTAAGAGAATGGCATCTTATCAGGTGGAAGCAATGACAATTGTCCTGTATGCTGTTCCTGTCCTCCATTCACTTTCTTGTGTGTCCACATCACAAATAGTAGCAGATTTGACCACAGGATAGTTGCTTTCACTCAAAGTAGCCTGTTGTTTTGAATAATAAATGAAAATAAACACTTAATATTTTGCCTATCCAGGTTTACCTTGCATTGGTTGCTTGTGAATAAGTTTTCCTAGACTGTTATGGACACTGTTGTTGAGGCTACTGTAAAATAGACATTGCAATATACTTATGCATTACTATGAATTCTATCTTACAGGCGAAGGTGAATTTGTTTCCCCAACGTTGGAGTGATATGAAAGCCAAGTGCAGTTGTCCAGACTTTGGTAATCCTTGTAAGCACATGGCAGCAGTATATTTCCTGATCACGTCAGAAATTGACAAGAATCCTTTTACATTGTTCACCCTACATGGTATGGATCTTGTTAAACATTTCAATATTAAAGTGTCTGAGACTGAACCAGGATACCCACTGCCAATTCATCCAGCTAAACATGTTAAGGTAAGCAAAAAATTAGGTTTATTGAATTAATGTCACTATTATAGCGGTAAACGAAATTGTTTTAAGAGCCCCAAATAAATATTAACACAAATAAATGCATTTTGCTTGCATTAGAACACCTTTACAGCAAACACAAACAAGATTCCTACTGGTAATAATAATAATTTTATTAACACTTACACATTCCCCGGAGGGATTGGCAATGGTTACAAAAGTTTAAAAAGGAATAAAAGGTTACAAAACAGAAAATAGATAAGAAAAAAACAAACAAAAAAACAATCTAAGCTAATACATTACAGATAATAGCTAGTATAAAATTATGATACTACGATAGATAGAAAACAAAATGCAAAACTCAAATAGTGAGAGAAGGTTGTCACTGGGGTTGCTGTCTTATTTCAAAACACTTCTTTAGGTACCTTGCTACGGGGAGTGTTAGGCCACTGTTGTTTAGCAAGGCTATGAATTGGGTCTTTAGCGGCAAATTTTTAAAGTTTTGGATTATGGTTTTTGTTATTTCGAATAGGACATTTTTTTCGGGGGTATATCTTTTACATGACATCATGAGGTGATACTCATCTTCTACTTCATTTTTATCACAAAGGTTGCATAATCTATTAGCAAGGGGTATTCCTTTGTGTCTGCCAGTCTCAATTTTCAAGTTATGGTCACTGAGGCGGAATTTAGTTAAATTTTCGCGCATATCAATGTTTTTCAGGGTAACAAGGTATGTTTCGAAAGCAAAATTGTTTTTTAATTCTCAGTATGATTAATTCTCTGTATGTTCTGTAGTTAGCAAGCAGCCTATGAGGGACTTTCTTATTGGTGCTATCAAATAACCTAATGTTATGCAAACGATTTATTACATTTTGTGACAATCTTACTCCCCCTAGAATTTTTGTAGTACTATGGCTAAGTTGTCTGTTTCACAATGCAAGATTATTGTGACTATACAAAAGAAATTGTAAGTTATCTCTACAAATCATATTTGAGGAATTCTTGAGGAATTGGAACATTGCTATGGACTTTCCTTGATAATTACCTATATGAATCTTTTGCCCGCTGTAATATTTGCAAAATCTGCCTGGATAATTTATGAATTTCAAAAATATTAGTGTTGTATTCCTTGCATTGATCCATTTCAAAAGTTACAAATGTAGGATTTATACTCAGGGTGATCTTCTTTTTATCCCTAAGGCCTTGTTGATAGAAGTGAATTAAATCATGAGGTAGTACGATATTATCCATAAATTGTATAATACAACACGTAAACGCAACACAAATTGTGAATTGTTCATAACTAACTTCACTTACTGAGCACACTTTCATTGATCACCAGGATGAGATCGATGAGACCGACGGAGAATTTGACCACATGAATGAACTAAAGAAGTGTGAACTGTTGAAGATTCCATCTTTGTCAGGATTTATTTTAGACTGTCTGAGTAGTAATCCACCGTTCTCATCACAGTTGGACTACAAAGAGGTTATGCAGGAATTCTACAGGTAGTGGTTTTACAATGTATTAATAGATCATAATAAATCATTCCATTGTACATTTTTTATCAGATCTTTAATCCTTCTACTATTGAAGTCTGATCTAAACTTTTCTGAGACAATTGAGATTGATTGGGCTACTTTATCTTTGAAATAAATTGATTTATATGTTGATTTATTTTCTCAAATGTATTGGCTGACAGATTGCATTTTGGCATTTGCCATTTCAAAATCGCTTCTCTGCAGACCAATCTATATTGCAGCAGGAAACAAACAACGCTTTTGCATTTGAATCATTTTAATACAACAATACAATGTTTTTCAAATTTAACAAAGACTGTGATGATGATGATGATGATAAAGAATTATTACAGCTCGTTAAGAACCAACAACTGTTTATTCACATCTCAAGCAGATAGCTATTTACAAGCTAGCTGCCACAATCTATCAAAAAAGAAAACATGTATCTGATTAACTTTTTCGGTGAAAGTAAATTCCAAATAAAATGATTTGTATTTTGTATTCTTTTAGCTTTACTGCCAAGAAAGGACGAGAGATGTTAATGCGACTGAGTGGTGCTGGCAGCAAAGAAGAAGGCTGGCTCTCAGAATTAGATTTGGATGACGTACATCGTGTTCTATCACAGAGTGAATTTCGTCTGTCATTGGATGATAAGTTTAATAGTAGATCTGTGTGGATACATAATGAATTGTGGGATGAAGATTTGAATCCAAATCAGTTGTTTCAAAGCATGCCATTTACAACTGAGATGCTACAGGAAGATGGTTGTAAGTGGAAATTTTATTTGTATTTGCATATATTAGGGTAGAATGACTACTATTCTAGTAATAGGCTGAGCCCTGATACAATCTTCATTATTAGTCCACATTTGGATGTCATACGAAAAAAATGACTTATAATTTTACCCCTGTGCATCTGTCCGTGCATGTATCTCCAAGTCCCAGACATGCCTGAGCTGATTCATGTGTTTTATAATCCAATTCAAGATGGCTGAATGGTAGCCATTTTATTGCTAAAAACTCATCAAAACTAAGCATTACTGCCATTCCAGAACTGGATAATAGTCATAAATGGATATATTTCATTCACACTTGGTATATCCATTGAACATAATGGGTCCTAGGTGATTCAAATTTTATTCAAACTTGGTATATCCATTGAACATAATGGGTCCTAGGTGATCCAAATTTTATTCAAACTTGGTATATCCATTGAACATAATGGGTCCTAGGTGATCCAAATTTTATTCAAACTTGGTATATCCATTGAACATAATGGGTCCTAGGTGATTCAAATTTTATTCAAACTTGGTATATCCATTGAACATAATGGGTCCTAGGTGATCCAAATTTTATTCAAACTTGGTATATCCATTGAACATAATGGGTCCTAGGTGATCCAAATTTTATTCAAACTTGGTATATCCATTGAACATAATGGGTCCTAGGTGATCCAAATTTTATTCAAAATAGCTGACTGATAGCCATGTTGTTTTTAACCAGTATTGCTAACAAGGCTGGACATCTTCAAATTTTGTACATACATCATAACACATTTGCAATGCATTTCTTTCAGATCATCATGACTGATCATCATTTTTGTGCTAAGAATGCATTTTGAATGTCATGGGCAGAATGAAGGAAGGAATTGCACAAATAAACTAGCTCCACTTTGTATCATGTTTGTCGAATGAGTGTAAATAATTATTTGGCACTAATGTTGACAGTCACTAAAAACTGGATGGGGACTTGTTAGATTTGTTATTCCTCAGCGTAATAAACAAAATGATCATTGCTGATGTATATTAATTCTATATATATTGTTTTTCTCACAATATAGTGTCACAGAGATGGGTAAAGCTGGACATATTGATTGCAATACAGGTATGTATTCTACTATTAGGATTGTACAGTGGCCCCTCGCTAAGTCGCGCCTCGGTAAGTCGCGATTCGGCTAAGTCGCGGGTACTTGGATGGCTCCCAAAATTTCTATTGTGTTTTGACAGCAATTTTGAAGTACAAAGACTAAATGTTTCGTGGCATAGTGTTTTTAACTAACCGTTAAAGAGACAACTTAACACCCACTGTCCGTCAATTGCTGAGACGCAATGAGCAACAGTGGCCTTACTCAAGGTGTCAACAGGGGTGTCGAGTAGTGACCGTACGTACTTCTTGGCCGGGCCAATTTTGGTATACCCCTACAAAAACTCGCTACAATGAGTTGAATTCATAGAATTCTGATCTCTATTTCTCAATTGAGCAGCATGTCAAAGCGAAAGCTATACAGCCTGTTCGTACGCCATAAACTCACGGCGATCGACCGTGTCAAACCAAGTTAAGGGTTGCACGTGATGA